TTTCTCTTCATGTTTTACATGTCATTTTACCAATGTCACATTTACTTGTTGTGTTTTTCATGTAATGCAGTTGTAAATTTCATTAAAATAAAAAATAAAAATGAAAAAATATTCAGTTTTGCAAATATAATCTCCATTTAAAAAAAAAACAACACTTTTTTGCACTAGTGATGGACACCCCGAAATTCATTTGTTCTAGTAATGGACAGAGGGTCGGTACCAGTAATGGACATACCTCAGAACAGTTCTAAAATCTTAATTTAATTATAAAGATAACGATAAATATAAGATAAAATAAATGTTCAACTTCCTCTTAGCAAAACTGTTAGTAGGAAGGTATGAAACACACTGCTCTCAAGAGCACTATAGAAACAACAATTATAGGCATTTTAAAATTTTCTTTTGGGAACTTTGTTCATACAGTTGTCAATAGAGGGCATTGTTCTTCAATTTGGAAAAAAATGGAACCTTAAATCAACAAGGAAGCTTATTATTTACATTTAAAGTCCAAACTGTCCATCACTGAAAAAATATTTTCCTCTTTTTACCAAAAGGTTTTTTTCCGATTTCGGATTTTTTTCTTTCCTTTACTATTACAACTTAACGAATGGCGTGTCATTATATAAGAGATATATCTGAGATAATGCCTGAAGCGTTTCGATGAGATGTCAGGCTTGTTAATAATGGACATTCTTAATATAAGCTTATTGTCATGTCTCTGTATTTTCATAAAGTCTTTTGTAGCACTAGCGGGTCCAGAATTTAATTTTTGGGAGGGGGCTTCATCCCGAAAGCTTTTTTTTTTTCTTAAAAATGACGATAATTAATTTAGAAAAAAAAGAAAGATACTAACTATCTATATGAAATGGTGTTTAAGTGATTCATTAAGTTATTTTAAATGTAATTACACATGTATAATTTTTTAATATTTTTTTCCATAAAACATGGTTATATTTTACCGTTTTGAGGGGGCTTCAGCTCGAAAGCTCCCTTCCCGTAGATTCGTCCGTGTTTTGTAGTGAGTCTGTATGTATTCGCTGAATTTGGCCATAAGGTCAGTGTGTGAAGTCGGGTTTAAAACGTATCGAGGTGCTTGTGTCTAAACATTTTGGGTTGAAATGTTTGTAAGTTTTTTTAGCAGAACCGAAAATTCGAGAAGTGTAAGACCAAATCGGTTTTAGTAATGTGAAGGCAGTAAGTTTCAGTCTTAGTTTTAATTTTGATTTTGATCTGAATAATAAGTATAATAGTTTACTTCTTTGATTTAAAATTTTACATTTTTTCTTAATATGTAGGCTCCAACAAAATCAGTTAATATTAAATTTTTTAAGATTTAAAATCATTTTCGACGGATATTAAGGGAAAACAGGACGAAATGACGTAGTATCTATTGTAAGATTAATTGATATATCGATGCACCTTGAACGGAGCGAGCAATCGATTAACACGGTTTATGAGCTTCATGTTTATGTAAATGCAATATCGGCGAAGTACTAAAATAAAACAATGAATGTACATCAATATATTCTTTCCTTTGTAAAAAATAAATAACACTATTTCTACTCTAGGTCACTAGCGGATCCAGGATTTAATTTTGGGGAGGGGGGGGGCTTCAGCCCGAAATATATTTTTTTTCATATACATATAACGATAATTAATTTGAAAAAAAAAAAAGAAATTAACAACCTATATGAAATGGTGTTTAAGTGGTTCTTCAAGCCCTATTAAATGTAATTAAACGAACAAAAATACTTTAAGAGATAGTTTTTAATATTTTTTCTGTAAAACATGATAATATTTTACCATTTTGGGGGGGAGGGGCTTCAGCCCGAAAGCCCTCCCCCATCGTAGATCCGCCTGTACTCTAGGTTAATATTAACAAATCATCATTCTGTACCTAATGTTAATAAAATATTAACTATTTTTACATTTTTAAATATTTAAATTAAAGCACACTTTATCTAAATGTTCAATTCTTACTTTCACTTACCTATATAGAAAAGGAAAGTATTGCGATCGTGGAAATTCTCGATTCTCAGTTTCCAACGGAAATACACGTTTTGAGGTCCCCTTATTCCAAATAATCAAGTCTCGCAAAATGATCTGTGTGTGTGTGTTAACATTCTAGCTCAAAAACGAGTAGTCCTACGAAAGTGAAATTGCATATTTAATATTTTTATATGCGTGAGATGATACAGCAACTTTTTCGTCAAAATCGGCTTACCGGAAGTGGCACTTTATATAATCAATGTAACACATTTTTACGATTTTCTCAAAAACGACTCAAACGATTTTGATTACATTTATGATATCAAAGTAAAATTAAGCAATTTTTAATATAATGTAGCTTTTATTCTCATTTATGTTCTCTAACAGAGCTTAAGTGTATAATATTCAGTATTAGATACTCTTAAAGTACCTTTATTTATTTTTTTATTTGAAACAATTAACCATTTCATATTGATCTCTGTAATAATATGAAATATGATGTGTGAAAAAATTTGATGATTAACTAAAGAATAAATAACAGATCGTAACAGAGAATAGATGTAATGAAGGAACCAAAGAGATACGAGCGCGGCCGATCTCACACGAGCTTGTCCGAAGATTAGAACAAGCTTCTACACGTAACATGAGCATAATATAATACGAACTTGGACAATATTATGTTCATATACGTATGTGGTTTTCATAAATGCTATCGTTGGTGATATCGTACGAAATAAATATCAAAATTTGTATATATATATATATATATATATATATATATATATATATATATGGGTACTTGAACAAATAAAAATACCTACAATGGAATATAAATAACTAAGGCATCCATAATTTTTACTTTCATTTATCCTTTGTGTGAAATACTAACTTTTGCTAAGAAGAGGGTGGTAATTGAAAGTTGTGTGATGCGCGTACTGCACCAGATTTTTATAAATTATAAAGGTGCGTTTAGATATTCCACAAACTATGGGAAACAAAATAATTGACAGGAAAACTATTAAATTGTGTAAATGGGCCTTTAAGCGATTATTATATTTAAAATAGCTTATATATTACTCTAGAGTATTATAATAATAGTTCATTACTGCGTAATATAAAGAATATAATGTAACCAGGCTGTCTCTCTATTTCGATCAAGGCTTTTATTTTATGAATATAATTATATATAGGATAATTATTTAGATGAGGAAGTTTAGTCTTGTAAACCTTTCTATTTTTAATGGAGAGTTTTGTATCATATTCATTTCAACTTATTATTTAATTTTAAATGTAAGTTTAGTACAATCTCTCTTCTATAGTCTTTTTTCTATGAATAATTGTAATTTATAGCTGAAAAATTAACTTAAGTGCGTTTAACATTTAATATTACATTTTATTTAAGATGTAAAATGTTAGTTGGAGTTTTAAAATTTAATGCATAAGTAATTTATATCCGCAATCTGTTTCATATCACTTATGATCATTCTAATTAAGCCTTAGCTAAAGAATAAACAAAATAAGTTGAAGGAGTTTATATAATAGTTTATGCATAAAATGTGTAATAATTATAAATACAAATTTTGAACTTTAAACAAATAAAATTGTATTAAAGTGGTTAAATTTAGTATTAATTTTTTTATAAAGTTTATAATTATTAATTAATATTATTTAAAATGGATTCTGTTTGTATTGTGCAGTTCATAATGTGATGGGTTGTTAATTTTTGGATAAATTGCTTTTGATTAGTTTTGTTTCTAAAGCTTATAATCAGAAATAATATGAGAAAAAAGTCGAATAGTGTTGATTTCATTTTAATTAGTTATTTTGATGTATTAGGTGCAAAACATCAAGGTCATTAGTTCCCGATTCATAAAATAGTACTACTACAATCAGTTTATTGATTAATCTATTTCAGTTGATAAAAATATTAAACTAAGTTGTGTAGGTTATTAATATAAAAAAAATATTCATCTTACTAAAGACATAGGTGAGGGGCAATAATAAAACTTGAAAAAAAAAAAAAAAAATTAAAATAGTTAAATTATGACAATCACATATCACTTTCATTATATGTTTACTTGCAAGAAAGAACATTACTTTATTCACTCTACTACTGTCATCCCCAAGCTGTTGAATTTTTTGTGATACTCCTGTTTTGTCTAATTCACATTTGTAAAATGGAAAGTGTTGATATATGTTACTAATATATTTTATTATGTTAATTACAATATATATTTCTTGTTATAAGATTCTAAGAAGTTCTTGTTTCAATATTATAAGCATCTAACGCTTTTAAATCTGCTCATCTCGTATTAATTTTGAATTTATTATTATTTTCTTACTCCAGAATAGTTTGTGAATCTTCTATTACGATGAATTAAACATTTAAACTAAAAATACCTGTGAGAGAGTAAACTATTTATGAACTGAATATATTTTGCTTGCAATTAATCCCTTACTCAGTTTTTATTAGGGAATTATAAGGATTCCTTCATAACCCAATTTGATATATTGATTGTAGTATTTTAATTGAACCTAATTGTTTCTATATAATTAAGTTATACATAAATATTACTATAATTGTAACTAGTAGAAAAGGGCCTTTTCAGTCTTGATAAATAATTACTTTATTTCAAATTTATGCATCTTCAGGCATAATCTGATTTAAATTTTCATTCCCATATAGCAATGAACCCACTTGCACACTTAGTCAAAGAACACAACCGAATCTTGATTCCGAAGCTTGTGTTCTTTGACTGCGTGTGCAAGTGGGTGCATTGCTCTAAGCGAATGAAAATTTAAATTATATGTAAAATCAGATTATCCTTGATGGGGCAAAAATTTGGATAAATTTGAAATAAAGTAATTATTTATCAAGACTGAAAAGGTCTTTTTCTAAGAATACTTATTATAGTCTCTTTTCCAAGATCATCCTTTACAATAATAACTCTAAAATAAATATATATAATACATAATAATATTAATTTTCAATTATTAATCTTTTGTTTCAGGAAAAGTGAGTTTCTTGGTTGTATGTCATTTGCAGTCAAACATGTTATAAAAAAGGTGAGTGGTATACTCTTTATATCCTTTAACTATAAATAGTTAGTTTAGGTTTTTATTTATTTAATAAAGTTATGAATATTTGAAGAGAAGAATGGTTGGGATGATCAGTCAAAATATTTACAAAATGATTTTGGGTCACATCAACCCAAAATCATTTTATGAACATATTTTTATTTAATCTCTCGGCTTTAAAACGTATTGTTTTTAAGCTTAGAATCTTTTAAAAAGGATCAATTCTCCCCTAATTGAAGTAATCAAATCACTGTACTCAAAAGGTTTCCCTAACCAGTTTGTTCAGTTTACGAGGAGAAACCTCTTTTCATAACCTTGTTTTAGTTAAATGTGTTGAAATTTCTATTATAAGTAAAATATTTTTTCAGGACATTTCTGGGTCCTTCAGACTACTATCTCAGAGCTGTGGTAGAATAAAAAATGTTCCAAGTATGACAAATTCAGAAAATGTTTGGCACCAACAAGCAGGTAAATAGTCCATTATTTGATATATTACTATATTATATATTATAAATTATATTATTATATTATAATATTATATTTATTATAATATTATTAGTCCAAAAAAGAAAATATTACTTTTGGGCTGATGCCCTCCTCCCCCAAAACGGTAAAATATGACCATGTTTTATTGAAAAAAATATTAAAAACTTTCTCTTAAAGTACTATTGTTAGTGTAATCACATTTAATAGGACTTCAAGAATAACTTAAACATCATTTCATATAGGTAGTTCATTTCTTTCTGATTTTTTTTTTCAAATTAATTATCGTTGTGCATATGAAAAAAAATCTTTTGGGCTGAAGCCCTCCCCCCCCAAAAATTAAATCCTGGATCCGCTAGTGCATTGTGGTACTTTTTTTTGTAAATTTATTTTACTTTAATGTTTTACTGAATATACTGTATCTGCAAGTGTTAATAATTGTACTAAGCATGAATTTGTGTTCTAATCAAAGTTTAAATAATATTATAAATATGTAAAATATATATATTTTTTGTTCTCATGGACAAGGACATGATTTGATCACTAATAGTTCTAATAAAATAATTTTGAAGATGACATTTTGACCAACACTAAACCCATTATCAAGTCTTATTTTGTACTTCAATTTACTATCCCCATGTCAAAATTCTTCTTTATTTGTTTTAGTAAAGAACAAATACCTCTTGTTATTTAAAAAATAATAATAATTAGGTCTACCATAGCCTTTTTAGGTTTACATGAATAGATTGATCAAACTTTTTTTATTTAGTTTGGTAAGTTTCTTCGGGTAAACCTAAAAAGGCCCAACTTAACTTAAAGTAGATCCAAGTTAAGGTTTTTAATTATTATTTAAAAATTTTCCTCTCAAAAATAAATAAAAAAGAATATGTATTAGAGGATTTTAAATTGAAGTACAAAATACAAAATAATGGCTTCAGTACAAGCCGAAATGTCATTTTTAGAATTATAAAATTCAAATAGCTCTTTATAGCACTCAAATTCAAATAGCACTGTTTAAGAAAATAATTGTTGTGGTCTTCATTGTATAATATAATCTTAATTCATCAAATTAGTAATGAATACTTAACTAAAGTATATAAGATGAAAAATCTATTAGAAGGAGTTGATCAGGGGAGGGTGCGGTCAAATAAATACTAAATTATACAAATAGTATTATTTAATTTTTTGCCATTTCGACCCACTTTGCAGGTCTTCATTAGGGCGTAGGATGTAGCACTGCAGGGGGCAGTTGAAACACTGACCGCACCTCCTGATCAACTCTTTATCATATTATATCATGGTCAACCATCTCTGCATCATTAAAAATTTATATTAACCATAAAATACATAGACAATGTGTAAAAATAATGATCACATAAATTTATTGATGTTTCCAAACTAACATGTTTAATTATTTTATAGATGTAATGGCTAACCAATCGGAGTCCAGCGTGGAAGAACTGTTAAGTGTAGATGAATCTGAAGTTGGTCCCCAGCAAGATAATCCTGGAGGTATTATTTATTTTATAACCGGATCCATTTTGAAATATTTTATTTTATTGAATTATTAATTTTGTATTTACATTTGGTTATTTGATTGCAGTGAGAGAAAAAAGAAAAAGTAGAGCATTGAAAAAAGATATTGAACGAGGTAATTACAATTTAGAATATTTACAAATATTTACTAAAAGGAATATTTTTTATTCTTTATACTTATTACCAAATAAGTATTTGTTTCTTCACATTAGTTTTACAAGTAGTTATATCTTTAACTTTGTTTTTAGTTCATGAAGATCAGATATTTTTAAGACATCTTGAATTGGATCCTCCTGAAGATGAGAATACAAAATCCGGTAGAACTCCTTTTACGACTACTAGGATTCTTAACCGACAACCTGGATGTAGTTTTGGTTTTTCGATAGCATGGACACATCCTCCAAGGTAACTATTTTTACAATCATTTTTGTTCTATGATTTACAAAAAATGGTTCAATATTTATTATTTAAAAATATTGACTCCCACTTAAGTATCAAAAAGTAGTTTATACTCAAGCTTTTCCATTTCAGGATCGAAAGAGTTGAATCAAGTTTACCAGCTGACCAAGCAGGATTACGCCCAGGGGATTATGTAATCTTTGTGGGAAAAACAAATGTTGTTACCCTTCAGGAAGAAGAAATTCTTCAACTTATCAAGTAATTATTTAAATTGTTTATACTATATATGAAATTAAATTATAAATGATTGTTATCTTATTTTTTTTAAAGATAAATTCAATCCTTTAAATATTGTTTATTATTTCATAGGAACAATATATTTTATGTATTTCAAGCCAAATAACAATATTATATATATATATATATATATATATATATATATATATATATATATATATATATATATATATATATATATAATATCATCAAGTTCCAATCTTTCATTTTCCAATTCCAATCATTAAAATAAAATTATCCAAAAACTGTATTTGTCGATTCTATTTTCTTTAATTTTTTAAGCTTTCTTCTCTCTTAATGATTGTTGATCCCCTGAATTTCCTTCCATAGCCCATCATATATGCCACGTTCATAGGCGCAGACTTTCCATTCTGGTTGGGGAGAAGCGACAGACCCTCCCAAAAAAGTCTTGGGAATTTACATTATGAACAAAAACTATGAGTGATAATTGACATAATCAACATAATTATTGCAAAACAAACAATATAGAAAAATAAACTAATATATATGATTACATAATATATTAGTTGTTTTTTTTTCATTACAGACCATGTAGATCTTTTGCCGCCTTAACAAGCCTGCTCCATTTCTGCTTGTCTTGGGCTATTTCTTTCCATTTATCTGCACGTAACTCTATCGCATTTTTGTTGATTCTACCTATCCATCTGCCTTTTGACCTTCCATGTGGTCTTTTGCTTTCTATTAAGGCATTCATTGTTACTTAGAGGCTTCTAATTGGATTGCTACGAGCTACATGCTCCACCCATCGTAACCTCCGTGCCTTCATATCATGCGATATTGATTGCCCATTTTCTGTAACCATTTCTTTATTGGTCTTTTTCTTCCATGTGTTAGTACTCTGATCCTAGATCGCTCCAGTTACCGTGAGGAAGATTTTTCTCTCAAATCTTTCAGCACTTTTTTCTAGGGTGGTGGTTAGTGTCCAGGTCTTTTAGGCATATAGTAGGACTGTCTTTATCATAGCATTGTACACCCTTAATTTGAGATATATTGAAATTTTTCGGGATTTCAATAACTTTGAAAAAGAGAAGAAAGCTTTGTTTGCACTAATTATATGTTGGTCTATTTCTGTCCATTGGTCATTCATTGGGGTTATTGTGGAGCCGAGGTATTTGAATTTTTCTACTCCCATGAAATTTTTTGTGTGAATCAATATTCTTATCCTTCCCTATTTTTATTGGGGGGCCATCGCTCTCCCCCCTCACTCCAAAGTCTACACCTATGGCCATCTTCATTAAGTTATTAGATTTTTATGGATGATTTTATTTAGTTTCACACTATTATATGGTTCTGATAAGAAAATATATCCCGAAACGTCAACTTGTAATGATGTGTGACAAATAAAGTAATTAAACAAATAACAAGGAAGTTATATTTGCCAAGCTTTATAATATTTTTTTTTTCTAAAATGTGATGTGGAATATTCTTCCACTTAGTTCTTTATTTATCATTTTATATATTTTAGAACTGATTGCATATCAATAATATTTATAATAGTGAATTAATAATTGACTGTCATAGATATATTGAAGATAAGTTAGTTGGTGTGTTCAGTCGAAAAAAGTAAAAGGTGTTTTTTATTATTTCTAAAAGGTGTTTTTTTGTCGGTGACGCCATTATTAAATTACCTACAAAACAAAAAAAAATCGAACAATTATTAACAAAGATATAGTCCATTAGTTTTGGTATACTTAATAATATCTTCCTGTTTTAAGATATTGTATATGTAGGAGTATAATAGTCAACTACATTTTTTTTCCTGGTTGATATGTTAACTTTATTATTTCTTAAAGACATTTGGTCGTTCTTACATTTTATTTTTTTTAATAATTTAGAATATCCTATGTGATTGGGGCATTATTTTGTCTTTATTACTTTTATTATCTTTCCAGTCAGCATTTAAAAATAGGTCCTAGCAAAGCAATTTGTACAAATATTTTGGTCTATGCCTATGTTTGATGGAATATTGTAATCGACCAAGGAAATATTAATTCCTTCCTTACATAATACATAGGATCTACTTATTTCCATATTGTTTTGCTGTTTCTTCACCAAACAAAATTTTCTGCGGATTTCTCGCTCGGGCCAACTAGTTATATTTATTTTTACTTTGTTATTTGTTCGACTAGGAATCCCAACCAACTTCTCATCAATAATATTAATAATACGTGATTCTTAAATAATAGCTTCTTTATCAAAGAGTCTAATTTTATTGATCTTCTCTTTTTACAGGTCATTTGGTGATAGAGTTGTACTAGAGGTCTACCGGAAGGCTACAACGAACGGTGCGAGGACATCAATGGCTATTATCAATCAGCCGAGGTCTTCGACCGCTTGTTCTGGAGCAACGACTGCGACTGCATCAATAGACAGGCGCAGGCTTCACCTCCCTCAGGTTACGTTTACGACAGAGGTGGGTTCTGGAGTCATCGTATGACATAGGCTAATTTAAATGTATCATGTTTCATATTCCAAGTATGAAACATATTAAGCGAGCTTAGTTTCAACACAAGGCTGTGTACTTAGATAACTGCGGTTAATCGCAAGTTTTTTTCTTATTTTTAGTTAGTTTAAAAGAATTACTTTGTCTTAAATACCTCGAATTTTAGAAAATAAACTTGTATAATTTAGTATGTTATTCCTATATACTCATGCTTAGTTAATATAATATAAATAATAGTATATTAAGTATTAAGTTGTGTTTGTAAATTTTAGGTTGCTTTAAGTACACAAGTAGCATAAGATAGAAAAATGCTTTTTAGCATGTTTTATTTTAATTAACTTATTGTGTTGGCACACTGTAATCTTGGCATAACATATTGTAAAATCTCTATTTATCGCGTAATCCACTTAGCACGATAAACACATTTAAATATAAAATATCTTTACACATATTTCATCAGATAATTGAAAAAAAAGTCGCTAAGTACATTTTTTAGAGTTAAAATTTTAAAAATCTTATGTGCATAAAAATAACTAAAAATTAAATTAGCAGTGTTCTGATTTCATAGGGGAAAAATCCACCAAATTACTAATTACTAAAATTATTTAGTAATATATTTTTTATAAAATGTTACTCTTATTGATTATTATCAATAAACCGACGGTATAAATTAACCAGTATAACTCATGATTTTACAGATTTTTTTTGGTTCCATTTCATTTTCTAATTAGTATCAAGAATATTTCATGGAAGTAACCAGGAGCTTAGAGAATCCCGATTTCTTTTAAAATATATTTTATTATTATATCCGAAGCAAATCAAAATAATTATTAAATTAATCAGCAAATTATTTCTTAATCAACAAATGATAAGATAGGAATGCCAAAAGTGGTTAACGAATAATTATTTCGTAGTTACTAGAATTTAAATTTCTTGGAACAAATTATTTTAATACAAATATATAATAGATTTATGATGGATAAATTAGGTTTTATAATATTATAAAGACAATAGTAAACAGATTTATTTTTTTCAGTAGTGATTACATTCATTTTTAACTTTTGCCTCCTTAACATATTGTTAGTGGAATGAATTTTTTTTCTCAGGCTGAAATATATTGATTTTAACTTGCAAAAAAAAAAAAAAAAAAAAAAAGCACCACATTGTTTTATATATATGTAACATATTGGATTAGCAATAAATAATGGTGAATTATTATTATAACAAATATTTAAATGATACATGTTCTTAGCAATTTATTTTTATGGGTTCAATAATGTCTTACCATTTTGATCCAAAATTGAAGTGGGGATGTTCAAAATATTGTTTAAATACACATCAAAACGCAAAGTATCATATCAAAGACCCTTCAGCATTAGCCTCAGGAAAAAGGAACCAAATGTCAAAATCATGTTCGACACTAACACTCAATATATTAAGTTGCTTTTTTTTTAGTTTGTAATAGTGTAATTTTTATGGCATCTTAAGAATCCTAATTAATAAGACTGATTGCAGTTGTCATTACCTCCGTAACCGTCAGGGTATGTTATGTGTAGTTTATATATACGGCTTTATAAATATTGGTTGTCATCATCAACCGTTAAACACCTTTCTTGGAATATTTGTAATCAAGATTACATTAAGATAATTTGTTTAGTAAATAGGATACCTCTTTATTTATTTATTTTGTTTTTTATTGTATATAATTTAGACAAGATTGACTAAAGATTCTATGGCCAGTAATAGTTTAATTATTATTTATTAGATATTTTTCTGTAAGATAGTTTCTTTTCCTCTTAATTTATTGTATTTATTGTTGTATTGTATGTACTCAGTTGCGTCTTCTCAGGAATATTAGCAGCTTTGAAGCTGTTGATTGTAACCTCTTCTACGTTTCAAATTCCTTTATCCCTTCTTTACTTTTATTTATTTATTTAGTGTATTTTCATTTATTTATTTTATTATTATTTAATTTTTTTTTTTTGTAAAAATGTTGTCTATAAGGAATGAAGATGCTGTGATTGTATCGTTAAAATTTTTTTTGTTTATGTTTGTATTAGTTTAACCTAAATTTATGTAAATTTGTTTATTTAATTTTTTTGTATTTTTTTTTTTGTGTATTACAAATGAAATTAATGAAGTTTTTCAATATTTTGGTTTTATTTTATTATTTTATTTATTTTTATCCTCCTTTCCCTTCCTTTGATGTAATGATTTGTATCGCAGTAAGATATGTCAAACTAATCATTTGAAATTTCATACTAAAGTTTATTGACTTGGACATTTGGTAAATAGAATAAATTAAAAAGTTCGATATTCTTCTAAATAAAGTCAGCCAAGTAATGTCTCCTTTAGCATGTCTCCTATTCGCCAAGTTTTAACAATACCATGCTAATTATCTCAACATATACCATAGAGTTTAACAGACCTGATTTAAAACTAAATGCAGAGTGTGTCTAGAGAAACAAGGATAAAGTTACCAGTGATATGGAGAAATAACAATTGTTCTTTGAGGTGAAATGAATTATTAATGTTATGGGAGTTATCATGTCTGAGGTTTTGCAGGAAAGGTAGAAGAAATTTGCTGAATTTAGCTGAAGGGGCGTTGATATTAGAGATCGTAAGAACGAAGGAGATTTCCAGGTTTACGAATTTTTGAGATTTCATATTTGTTTTGTCTCAAATCGGTTCTTTTTTGTGCTGGTTAAATTTCAGCATGAGTGAGTGGATTGGGTCCTGGGAGAATGTAAGTTGATTGATCAGAGAGGGGTTGTAGTAATTTGCCTGAGTATTCCATATTGTATATAATAACCATCAAATTTCCCTTATCAGCCTTAATAATAATAATGAGGTGGTTATTAATTTTGAGGATGGCATGTGTCGAGGATAAGTCTTTGAAAAATAGGGGGAAAGAGAGACAAGTGGGACAGTAGGTTTTAGGGACAGTATTGAAGGTGATTGGAAATTATGTTGATGATAGGAATGCTGGATAACTCTCTCTCCTCTTTGTTAACTCCAAGTCTCGATAACCTCTATACGTATCTTCAAGGTCCGTAATAAGGCTAGGAATGAGATCAGTGCATTTGGGTGATATATTGGAGAAGGAACTATTGTGAACCTATTTGTCATTGCCCTCGGAATAAATTTAATATAATTAATTTCTCTTTATTTTAAAATTATTAACATTGGAAAAATGTGTGATATTTTGTTTTCTAATATTTGTCTATCTTTTAAAATTATCTTGAGATGAAAAAAATGATTCATTAGAGTTTTGAATTGGTTTTTGTTCTAGTTCGGAAAAACTGATCTATACTAATGTATAAATGTTATCATTGATGCTAATTATAAAGTTATGTAATATGCAAAACATACAAAAGTTAAAATGTTTTTATAACATTAAGCTACTTCTACACGTTCTCAATCTAAAAATTCTATGAAACAGTCATATTCATAACTTTCAGATAATCTTGATTTCTCATTAATTTAAATATGAGTTAAATAAATTTGTGAAAAGTAAACAAAAATCCACTTGAATACATTATATCCTTCAACTGAAGGTTTTATAAAGATAAGGTTAGTAAAATAAAATAGAGTTGGAAAATTTGTTCAATAAGACAAAACACCAGAGGACTTATAATACTGAATTCAACTTGCTTGCTAACCATTTAGCTAGATAGATAGCTAATAATAAGCTAACTTTTCATAATTTTAAGCCTTCTGACTATTTTTACACCTTTTTAAAAGTTAGGTTTTTATACCTTTGTATTCCACCTGTATGGCTAAAATAAACAAAACCAGATTATTCCTAATGAACTTTCTCCTTGGAGAACCATGAGATATATTTTGCTATAGCTATGTTTCCTGTTACTCTCGACAAGAAGGTTTGAGATAATTCAAATTTTAAACGCCATTGGTATTATACAGGATGTTTCAGGGTCAAGTGACCAAACTGCAAAAATGAACTAAGGATTTCAAAAGAAGAAAAAATTTAATCAAAGGTATGTCCGCAAACACTTTGTTTAGGAGATATTCACACCTAAAGATTTTCATTGTTATGAATTATTTACGTTATATTAAGTAAATAAAACTTATTTATTTGTTCAAACTACTTTATTAATTAAACGAAAACATTAATTTCATATTAAATGTTTTTCAAAGTGATTTTCTTGAGAATTAAGACAGGCTCAGTGCCTTTCTTCAACAGCAGCAGTGGCAGAAAGGCAATGGATATATTTTATTGTTTCACAAGATTCGATTATCCTTCTTCGTAAGGAATTAAGGTCATTAACATTAACGTTTACATTTAATTAATAAAGTAGTTAGAACAAATAAATAGGTTTTATTTATTTTATAAAACAATAATTCATAACAACGAAAATATTTAGGTGTGAATATCTCCTAAACAAAGTGTTTGTGGACATACCTTCAGAGGAAATTTTTTCTTGTTTTGAGGTCCTTAGTTCATTTTGGCATTTTGGCCACTTGACCCTGAAACATCCTATATATGAGGTCCTGATGGCTGAGAGTGTTAGCTTATTGCCCACTGTAACATTCTTGAGTCTAGCAGACCAGGTTCAAATCCGCCCTGAGCGGGTTGAAAGGGCCCACAATTATCAGAAAAATGTTGAAGAAAAATAGGCATGGATTCTTAAGCTGAATTAAAATGTTTTGTTTACATGATAATTATTTTATTAAATTATTGTACTTTTTTTTTCAGAATTTATAGTATTTAATGATTAATTGATCTAAAAACTATATTGTTCTAGGAAGAAGATAGTAATTGAGCACTATTTTTATGAAATCAATCCTTTTTAGGTTTTTATGTAAATCAGTTTGAAAAAGAGTTGTTTTTAGCTATGAAATAAAACATAGTATAATAAATTATTAATTGAGGGTTGATGGTTGACTGTAGTGAATAATTGAAGAGAAGGGTGGTTGGTGCAATGAGTAAAAATAAATAATTATATTTATTTAATGCCAAAGTTCAGGCCTTTATCAGGGCAAGAAAAGAATCAGATATCAATAGGTATCTGAAACTATGAACATTGAATAATAAATAATTAAGATTAAAAAGATGAAAGGTATACACTAAAAAATGTAGGCAGAAAAAAATAAACTAGAAAGAATAATAACAATAACAGAGAACTAAGAAATAAATAATAATAACGGCAACAGAGTATGGATTAATAAAATAAACATAATCAAAATAAGGTAACATAAGAAATGAAAAATGGTAATCTTAGAATAAAATGTAAAACAGAGAAAATGAATATGAAGTTATATAAGGAAATAATAGATATAAATAGAAAATTGGGATATTGTAAAATCTATCTATAGTAAATTAGATGTGGAAAAAAAAACAACAGAATTAATCAAATTAAAAAGTAGCACTAAAACTAACTTTGAGTATTTGAAAAACAGACAAGCTTTTATTAATTGTTAAAAGTTAACAAATGAATTTACGTAATAATATTTAAAAGCATTACAATATTTATGCTCATTCTCATTAGTTTCAAATACATAGAGAACTATGAGAATTTATTATTGTAAATTAGTAAAAAAATAATCATAAGACAGAACATAATTGTTAGGTTATCATTGGAAAAAAAGAGTATGTGATTGGATTTCATGGAGTGAAGTTCGATTAGCTATTCTTTTCTGTCCTGACGATGCCTGAGTTGGTGAAATGTTGGCAGGTTTTTTTTTGCCTCCATTTTGGAGACATAAGGCTGTGTGGTTTGGAATTTTTACAAAAATAAACTACAATTAGAATTTATTTCTAAAACAGAGATGAAATAAAAGAATTGTTATAATAAAATAAAACGAAACGCAACTGAAAGAATTAGATAAATAAAATGAAAAGTAAACTAAACCTATTTGATTAAGGAAAACTGCAGCAATAATTTGTTTCACTAACAAGATGAGATCACTGATTATAATTTATTTTATTTTTTTTATTTTTATGACTATATGCAAAAAATTATTCAAATAAGGAAAATAGAATAATGATTTGTAAGGAATATGCAAAAAAAAACAACTTGTTGAAGAATATATAAAAAGATTTGTTAGGTACCTAAGTGATTATGTATTATTTTTTAAGGTGTACAAAATTTAGGATGATAATTTATGTAAAAACATAAAAGTAATCAGCACACACATCATGAAAAGAATGTTTCCGCCTGGGGTTACCTTTTCTGATTATTATATTATGCCATAATTTGAAAATATTAAATGAGTTGATACGAAGCTTTAATTAATTTTTCAAACAATAGAACATTAAAATAAAAACATGGACAGAAATAAAATTAAGGAATTATTTCAAATCACACCACACCATACACAAAGACATGAACATACCTGGTTCTGCCTTAAATATTGTTACAAAAGTTGAACTTTGTTTACATCCTTGGGTATTATTTAGATAATTCTTACCTCTATCAGGTTATTTTCTTTACTTGTCAGGATAATAATTCCAATTAGTTTGTATTTTTCTTTTGTTCCGTTAACATGGAGTGGGGTGATAAAGAAAACCCAATAGCTGTGATCTCCTTACACAAAGTTGGAAAATGTAGGTCAGAGATTTTCAACACTTTGAAACCTTGGGTATAAGGCGTATGTCATGTACGGCACTATAAATAGATATAATGAGACCCTATCTGTATGAGATAGACCTCGAACGGGCCTGTGAGAATGGCAAATGGTGTGAAAACAGTGGCTGCTTGAATCAGAAGAAATCCCATTCTAAACAAGAAATCATGTCTAGGGAAATAAGAATCTTTGTCAGATCAATGTTTCACATGATAAAAAGTGACCTTAGGATGGGTGCATTTCAAAGAATGACAGGACAAAGGCTAACCACTTCCCTGAAAAAAATTAGAGTGGATAGATGCAAAGTGCTCCTTGTCCGTTACACCAATGGTCTTCATCGAAAGATTTTGTATAGCGATGAGAGAATTTTTACAATCGAAGAAAAATGTAATCGCCAAAATGATTGTGTGTACGCACACAGGTCTAAAGAAGTCCAGGAAATCATTGGAAAAGTGGAAAGAAGTCATCACCCTTCCTCAGTGATGGTTTGGTGGGGAGTTTGCTTTGATGTCACCACAAAACACCATTTTTGTGAAAAAGGAGTTAAAATAGCTGCTAAAAACTATATGTTCCTCGGATTGTCCATCAGGAAGTCCTGATCTCAACCCATTAAATTATCGGTTTTGGTCCGAACTGGAGAGGATGGCATGCCGCCATAGAAGCACACCCTAAATTGGTAAGCCTCAAACAATCTCTGGTCCGAGCAGTTGAGCGCTTTCCTCAAGAAGTGCTGTGTGGTGCTATTGATGACTGCCCACGGAGATTAAATGCCTGTGTCAAGGCAAAAGGGGGACATCTTGAGTAATTTATTTTTTGTTTTATTCTCTATAGATATGCACTTTATTTTCTAATAAAGTTTTTGAAAAAAATTAATTTTTCTGTTGAAATCTGTATATATTTCCTTGTAACAATATTTATGACAGAACTAGGTACTTAGTCAAGTAAAACCCTACACAGCATTCCATTCTTCTATTCTCAACCTTACAAACCCAGTCATCCAGTCTCTTCCTTCCTCCCTCTAACCTAATGAACCTGAACGACGACTAAAAAGGCAATGGCATTGAGATCTCCTGCTCACAATGTAAACAAGTATCAATAAACGAAGACATAATAAACGGTAACACATTTGCTTGATGCAATAAAATATGAAAAGGAATTTTTCTGTCTATTACAGTTTTTAGAAATAAATTATAAAAAAGAATTAAATAATGCAAATTCCAAGGGGTGGACCAAGACATATATAGCAACCATGCCTTAAAAGCCACCTCCACTTTTCTATTCTATTTTCCTGTTCTCTCATTCTTCCTCTGTCCGATCATTAATTTATGGTCTCACTGTGGATGGGAGGATGTCTTAAATATAATTTTATAAACTTGGATTTTTACAGGATTCAATGAAGGAAATTTGGTTAAAAAAAAAAATAAATAAATAAAGATTATTGGTGGTGAACGCACCAAACCTCCATATTATTTACTTATAGTTTTTTAAAAAATTCAACAATGATGATTTATTTGTCATTCCATGTTTAACTCCTTTTCAGCAAGGTTATGAGCCACAGGAAGAGACCAGGAAGAAGAGTGTGTACCAGCTGTTGGGAAAAGAACAACAATATGCCCTTTGCATGCAGTTCGGAATTGCCAGGTTTTTAGTACCTCTGTCGGAAAGGAGAGATGTGATGTCGCAGACTGAGCATGGTGTCCTCTTTCAAAATGCTCAAGAGGTTAGTCTCCTAACTAAAACAATATATATGTAAACTGACAGACCTACTAGAAGCCTATCAGGCCAAAGCCTCCCAAATATCATGCTCAACCTCCAGGTTTATCCCCTTAATTAATTTGTAGTTCATAAGAGGCTGAGTGTGCCCCCAGGAGGGTCTCCTGAACTCAGGTTTCATCCATAGCTGATGGAAACAATAAATAATCATCTGCCATCAGCCTTACTCACTGAGCTACTCCCCTCCCTATTATAATGTATGTACAATCACTAAATGTAAGTTACAAAAATACTAACAATCTCTAAAAACATTATTGCTTCTATAATTACTTTTTTTTTAACATGCCTTCCAGAATTATCTAAACTTATGTTTCATTCAGAGTAATTATCTTTATATATAATAAAAATAAAAAAATTAATCATGGAGCCACTACTGATGTATTCTAATAATTTTCCCCACTATTTTATTTGTATCCTTCCTCTCCTTCGCTCTAGATTCTCTTAATCAGCTCATTTCACTTCCTTCTATATAATTCTATTATGTCTATTTTAATATTACCCTATTTTAAGGACTTTTCTTATTAAAAAGTCAAGGTTATAAAATATTAACTAGTAGCAGATGATTGGGATCACCTTCTGTTTGATTATAATTTAAAAACTAAAATAATAAAGAAATTAATCTATTTCAATGCTATCGTAATTATAACACCGTTATAGAGCCAAGTTTCCTACAACTTCATTTTCTGGTAAGCTATCAAAGTAGTTTACAATTTTGTGTCAATCATCTGATCCATTTTTAATGGCTGCAGCTGTGGAGCAAAACCTCTTTTCCAGTTTTTTTTAGCCTGCCATTTCAGAATCATTTTAATTGTTTTAACTAATGATAGGAATAAATAGTCAGTTTAATGAAGTTCACCCTCAGATGGACTCCAATACAGGAAGAGGAACAGGTAAATCCTGTACAAGATACTATTATGGTTTAATATTGCTCACTATAATCCTTACATGTGCAATTATATTGACACTGTTTCAATAATATTAAAGGAGCTTCAATAAAAATAAAAAAAAAATTGATATCAACCAATTTGATTGACATCAATTTAGCCCTCACATGGTCATTTTATTGATGAAACTCGATATTGACTCAATAATATTGACCATGTAAGGGACCCTTTAGGTTATATCTGCAGGGGTGATGATCCCCACCAAGCTGGATGGTGCATGAACCTTCCCCCACTCTTCCCAAGATATTTTATTCATATCCTCATCTTAAAAACAGTGCAAACAAAAGTATAATTTAAAAAGTAGTAAATTATATACAATTACACATCCTGCATTTTCTATGCTTCCATTTTTTGTCTTTTGATTTGAAACTTTTCAATTCGAAAATTCATAACCTGGAAGAAATGTGCCCCCTCAAAAATTCAAAACCCCCTCAAAATGTGCCCCCCTCAAAAATTTTGATGGTGCAACTTCGCCATGAAACTCTCTTCTGGGCACACCTGTGTACGGGGTTTTCCCAGGCCAGGAGGTGAGGGCGGAGATTAATGTCAGAGTTAAAAGTCCTCTCCCCTAACGTACCGGGATTCAATGTTGTAATTATTTTTATCAATTATCTTATATTAAGTTGCCGGGCAACACAGTGCTGTACCCTAATTACAATTGATGTGTTCTGGTCTATGTTTTTCCACTCTTATTTATTCTTATTTTATCTGGTATGAAACTTTCCACTCCATAAATACATAAATCCATCCACGGGCGGATCTACCGGGGGGGCTTTCGGGCTGAAGCCCCCTCAAAATGGAAAAATATAACCATGTTTTATGGGAAAAAAATGTTAAAAATACCTCTTAAAGTATTATTGTTCGTGTAATTACATTTAAAAGTACTTAAGGAATAACTTAAACACCATTTCATATAGGTAGTTAGTTTCTTTCTGTTTTTCCAAAGTAATTATCGTTATTTTTATGAAAAAAAAAGGTTTCGGGCTGAAGCCCCCCCAAAATTAAATCCTGGATCCGCTAGTGAATCCATCCACAGCCGGATCTACGGCGCGAGAAGGGGGGGGGGGGCGGGGCTTTCGGTCTGAAGCCTCCTCCAAAACGGTAAAATATAACCATGTTTTATAGAAAAAAAAATTAAAAACTATCTCTTAAAGTATTATTGTTCGTGTAATTACATTTAATAGGACTACAAGAATCACTTAAACATCATTTCATACAGGTAGTTCATTTCTTTCTTCCTTTTTCTCAAATTAATTATCATTATATATATGAAAAAAAAATCTTTCGGGCTGAAGCCCCCACAAAATTAAATCTTGATGCCGCCCCATCGATATATGCCCCTCAAAAATTTAAAACCCCTTTAAAATGTGCCCCCCTCAAAAATTGTTATGGCGTAAGTTAAGCCAACCAGCCCTCTTTTGGACAGTCCTCTACCTGGGGTTTTACTGCAACTTTTTCGTCAATGTAGACTGACCGGAAGTTGCTTTTCAATTTACCGATTTTATAAATTTTAACGATTCTCTCGAAAACTGCTTTAACATTTTGTTTAAAGGAAATGTGTTTTTATATTAATTTCAATTTCTCCTATTAGCAAGGTAATATTTCCCCCAAACTGTGGCACGGGCGGATCTACGGGGGGGGGGGGCTTTCGGGCTGAAGCCCCCCCCAAAATGGTAAAATGTAACCATATTTTACAGAAAAAAATACTTTATACTATCTCTTAAAGTATTCTTGTTGGTGTAATTACGTTTAATAGGACTTCAAGAACCACTTAAACACCATTTCATATAGATAATTAATTAATTTCTTTTTTTTCAAATTAATTATCGTTATATATATATGAAAAAAAAAACTGTCGGGCTGAAGCCCTCCCCAAAACTAAATCCTGGATCCGCTAGTGAACTGTGGTCACCACTAGGGTTCTACAGCAGGGCACCCATCCTAAATTTCGAGAAAAACATTTTTTTAGTTTAAATTAAAACATATTTATTTCTACTTTGTGGTTATTTTTCTCTAATTCAGTTCATGTGACATGATATTATTAATCATGATATTTATTTCAAATTACATTACCTAAAATACTGTTTTAAAATATTGACTTTTTTAGGGGGGGGGGGAGGGAAAGTTACGAAAGATGGTACAAAAAAATTAGCTTGCCTTTCCTGGTAAAAATCTTTATTCCGGCCCTGAATATTTATAATATAAAAATTTTTAAAAACATTTTTTTCATTTTGTAATGTTTTTCTTTCAGTTGTTCCAAACCTTTCCTTCCTTGAACCATATCTGACCTAAGAGGAGCGTCCTTAATTCATTCTCTCTGAACATGAACTTATTATTAAAATTTGTTGAATAAACTAATATTTATTCACTAGTTTGATTTATACACAGTGTCAAGTCGTGATTTTTCTCTGCTGCAATTTTTTAAGTGTTTAAATTAGCAATACCGATTGAAACAACATTTAGATACAATTTTCCGTTTATTTTTAAAAAGTTTAGTTCAGTGTATCCATAAATATAAATCAATATCATATCAGTGACAAAGGAATAGGCCATTTGTGAAATTCATAATCTAGGTAATTTGCTCATTTTATTTGGAAGTATTAGGTAAATATTGAAACATTTATTTATTCTATTATGCAAACTGTACCCTTATGTATAAAGTACTATAGTTTTATAATGGTTTATTTATGAATTTTTAGTTTAATATGCCACAATTTGAAATTTAGTCCAGTACGTGACTGATCAAAATAGGTTTTATTTCATTCTGTTTTATTAAATGTTCACTATATAATTTGCTTCTATTCCATATTTTACTCGTGGTTCATTTATGATGAAATTGGGTTCTTTTTCAGCTTTTAAGGCATACAGAAGATATTTTGGAGTTGTATGTACAAGATGAAACGTTGGGACAGTCTCTGGGACGAATATATTATAAAAAGGTAATCACTTTTATTCATTTCACATTAATATGTTGAGTTTTTAAAATTAAATGTTGTCTATTATAAGTCAAAAATATGAAATTGAGCTTGGATAAAGTTGAATATAGTATAAAACCAATGTTATTGCCTTATCGGTTTTTTTTAGCTGCTAATTGGTTTCATGGAACATAAATGAGGTTTTGTTTGGTTGACACTGATACAGTCACGGTCATAAAAATCGCATCACGCAGTAAAAGTTTTATTAATTTATATTTTATAAATTTATTAATATTATTATTTTATATTACTTACCAGATTCCTACTGCAAGATTTGCAAATATTTCTTTACCAGTTATGAAATGATATTCTGAAAACAACTCCACATTTAAGCGGTTCTATTCTTAAATGTGCATTGTACCATATTAAAATACCATTGTTCAATTCTTTTATTCTTCTCTGTTTCTCTCTTTTGCTCCATGGTACTTTTTTTTTTTTTTTTTTTTTTTTTTCAAAACTATGACTACCATTGATTGACCTCGTTACTATTTCCCATGAAAATTTCCTTTACTTCATGTAATGTCACAATTTGATGTTATTTGACGAGGAAAATTTTTGATACAGGTCATCATTACAGCTTTTATCCTAACGTTTCTTAAAACTGAACTGAAAAATATTGTTAAAGTTTACTTGTGATCTTAATAAATAAGGCCAAAACAAAAAAACATTCAATGGAATCAGCATTATTAAGAATCATAAGAAATAGGTGATGCACTTTCTAAAACCGTGACTGTAAATAATATTTTAACTTTAATTAATTTTAAGATGGAAAGAAGTTCTTATAACATATTTTGCAAATAACTTACTGGTTGTCCTGTGGATATCTCGTATCTTTTACCTGAAATACTGACTTAAAATTAAACTTAATCATGCTTTTTTTTTCCTTTACCTCGTTTTGGCTGATTATTAGAGTCAATTATACTGTACAACTCTTTAAAGGAACACATTAGTTTGTATTGTTATAAATAATTATTGCCTTAAATTAAATCATTGTCACTGCTGGGACCAAAAAATATTTCCTATAAATAGCAACAAATTGCCTCTAATTTTTGTATAAACATAAATTAAATATGTTTACAATATTGAAACTATTTTTATTAAATTACTGCAAACGATTTCTTTTGAACTGGCACTACACTCCACAATAGAGCAATGCCGCAGCAATGACCATCAGTCATCTCTTTGTTGTGCTGCTCCTCTCCAGTTCCATATGCTAAGGATGGATTGAGTGATATGCCCCACTGCCCAGCACAACTTTTGTTGGCCAACCCCTCTTCATCTATAAAACCGTTTGTGATACGATCCTCAGTCATTCTCACCACATGTCTTGCACAACCTTATCAATTCATATTGATGAGGGTGATGATGTCGGCATCATTTTGTCAGCAAGGAATTAATTCATTGCCTGCTACCATCATCACCATAGAGCTCTTCATAGATTCTGCAGAAAATTAGCTCTCAAAGCTTGTAAAACCATATTGTGAGTTTTCGAAAGAGTTCAGCATTCCAATCCATATGTCAGGTAAGGCTTATATATAAATACACTTATTAAGGTACGTCTGAAGACCATAACAGTAACAATAAATAAACAAAAACTTATAGGCTTTTATTTTTTATCTCCATTTGTAGTTTGTTTACGAAGGTTCTGTTGATGTCATTCTTTGTTGTTTATATGGCTATAAATTTCTTTTTGATAGCTAAAGTCGTATTGAAGTTACAACATTTTTCTGATTTAAAAAAAAAAAATCCTGTGAGGGATCCAAACGTTAAGCCTGGAAACATTGCCAAGCTTGTGCAAATTTTTCTACAAATGTGTGCGACACATTTAGGGCCATAGAAATCTCACACTGATTGAGTAGGATCTTGATCAACAATGGCCTTACCATTGCTCGTTTCAATTTCATGTACCAAACCATTGAGCATCATTGATATTAAAATTTCCTGAATGAAGTTTAGTAAACCAATTTTGACAGATGCATTCGATTAAGGCATCATCTTCATAAACACTGCAAAGTTTTCTATGAGCTTCTGCAGTACATTTACCTTTTTTAAAATAATACAACAAAATATGCCGATAATGAATGATATTTTCTTCCATACTCACAATGCAATGACAAACACAATACTAAGCTAGTTTCAACAAGAGTTAACAGATATAGTCGTTGACATATTACAAACAGGATAAAAAAATCAACTTAGGCATTCATTAATCAGATAACAAGTGTATCATAGTGACATAAAAATAAACAGAAAACCAAAAGGACCTATTTGACAACCCAATAATTTTGACATTATATACTCAACCATGAAACAAACAAGGCATTAGCAATCAGTTTTAATTAATCTATAATTGGGAATTTAGTTGATGATTGCAGTCATTGTGAAAACACATAGGAAATTTTAAAAATATATTTTATTTTTCATTTGTCAATAATCAATTAATCAACCATCCCATTAAGATTTTCCCTACCTTTTGTAAAGTCTTACCCTCAAACTATTATATATTGGGCATTTAAATAATACACGATAAAGTTTATCTTCTTTTTTTTCAGTGTTGCACATTTTGCACTCAACCTGTGGAATGCTTTCATGAATTTTATTTTTTAGGGTAACCTTAATCATGTATTTACCTGAAAAGTGTATCTGTATTAACAGTATTTAAACTATGTTTATTGATTTCCCATTTATGAAATAAATCTTGTTTTTCATTGCTACTGCAACCTCCAATTTACTTCCAAGTCAACAATTTATCCATCATTTTGATTAATTTCAATAGTTGAAGTTCATAGATGTAAATTTTTATAAATAAAAGAACTGGTAATTTATTTTTATTTTTACTAAGGTTATACGCTTACTCAGATAAGGTAAATATTATTTTTCTGAACAATTTATAAATATAAGAGTGTTTAAGGCGAATTATTAATTAGTTAATGAATTAAGGCTACAGTCATCTTCATCATCACTTTTAATTCATTAATCCCTTTTACATTTTGACTGAACAGGCCATCTTCAGTTCAGGTATGGTCTTTCATAAAATTATAAATCTATTTTAAGATTCAGTCACTAAATGAATGCATTAGCTGCACATCTCCCTTATTTTTTTATTACAAATTTATCTTTTTCAATTATTGCCAAATTGAAAAGGGAACTTATTAACTTCTTCTAATTGTTTTTGTCCTAGTATTTCACTAACATAGCATGAACTAATAAAAAAGTGATGGTGAAGATAACTGTTGCTTTAATTTATTAATTTTATTTTTCAATGGCTAAGAGCTGATATCTTATATGTGCAAATGACCATTGTACAATTGGAATAGAATCGGTTAAAAAAAAAAATTAGATGTCAGAATTTTCTAAGATTTTATATCTTTTTCAGCCGATTTTGTGGCTGAGTTTCTCATTCGTCTTGCTACACAAATCCAATTATATCATACATTAGTATATATCTATATAATGTATATAATATTTCATAGATGAATGCATTAAACAATGCATATAGGAGATATTGCATCGGACTCAAGAAGGCAGATTGTATTCTTGTTGAAAAAACTCGAAATCCTAACTTCATGAAGATTATAACAGAGCCAGCGATACCGAAAAGGCGACCAGACCTGACCACATTCATTCATAAGCCGTTAGAGGTAACAACAATTTTTAATTAAACAATAGACTTATAACAATCACAAACATGGATTATTATAAAAAATCTGGTGTGCATATCACACAACTTTCACTTATCGCTCTACTTCTAAATCAATTCTTTTCTGACAAATTGGGCTATTACAAGAAGTTTTCGAAGCACATTTTTAATGGAGCTAAACGAATTGTAAAATGTGTTAAATCATTGATATAAACATCCACTTCCGGTTTGCTGATTTTGACGAAAAAGTTGCTGTAACATTCCAGGCACATACAAACCTTAAATACACCAAAAAAAATAAGACTTCTCGTTTTTGAGCTAGACTGTTCACATACACACACAGACCATTCTGTGGTACTTGGTTATTTGAACTTAGGGGACCTCAAAATGTGTATTTCTGTTGAAAACTGAGATTTAAAAATTTTAAGTTTTAAATATATAGTAAAAGAAATACTTTCCTTTACTATATATTTCATATATATGTAAATAACCTGTGTTCGTGGGCAATAATAAATAATCATTTGTTGGCGGCAATTTCAAATGATACTTTTGCTTTTTTCGGGGACTAGGTTATTTACACTCCTGAATTTAATTTTCTTAAAACAAAATCCTGGCACTGGATATAGACTTGAAAGTGTTTAACTGTCGTCAGGAATTTGGAAACCTAATGCTTTTGTGACAATGAGTGACAAGAAATAATTAGAATATATATATATTGGACTGAGTAAGTACACTTTGAATGAATTGACTCACATGGACTGTTATTCTTCAATTGTGAGGCATATAGGACAACTAAATAAAATGACTTTTAACTCCTGTATAACAAAACAATTTATTTTGACAACTGTTATTAATTAATGTATAAAAGTCTTATAACTGTAGGCTTGATATTCTTAATCTTCATTGTAGTAGGCTTCTCTTCTCATGTGACCTCCTTCCTTCATCCCCATTCCTCAAGTAACTTCTTTTCTCTCTGGCGTCCTTCTCCAGCCGCTGCTACCTGCTCGGTCCTTTTTCAAGCTTCTTTCTTCTTCGTCGATTGTTTATCGATATGACACTTTTCAATGAACAATTTCTCCACTGCATAATTGAGTACCTCAATTCCTCATGTTCCTATATATTCCTTCTCATTCCCTCACATAAAGGAGTAAATACTGGAGGATAACTACTACATATAGTTAAGTGAAAGTAAAAATAAAATGGATGTTTATAAACAAATAGATTTGTAACAATCACTATATAATTCTGTACCACAGAGGTAAAGAACACCAATTCATTTCTGTATTCGTTCACGGGAGCCAATGGTCCATAACTTTGAGCTATTAAAACTTGTTTTAGTTACTAAATCTATATTCCGGAGATAAAGGAGTTATTGATATTTGTTTCTTAGTTACTAAATTATTTAATAAAAAAATGGACATGGTGTCCTTTACCTGCGGGGCACAGAATTTTTCTTATATTTCAAAAAATCCTATATCTATATAATTAATAGTAGGCTATTATTTCAGCATTTCAGGGAAGTTCTAAAGCTACTTCAGACTGCTCTAAACACCACTAAAATCAAAGATGAAGATCATATTGCTCTCTCGAAAGTTGTCCATGAAATGCAGGTATTGATAAATTATATTATTGTTTTATAGTATTAATAATTAATTTTATGTAGATGAAACCATAATTTATCAGTTGATGTTCTCAGACAACTTATCGAGACATAACGGTAGAGTCAGGTTTGATGGAACCCGAGGGCGAAGGAAGACCCCTGCTCAGTCTCCAAGATCTGGAAAGTAGGCTAGTTTTCACAAGGTGTAAGGTAAAATATTCTCTTTCTATTTTTTTCTCTGTTATATTATTATTGTTAAACTATTCCATAATGAACAGCATTTGAATCTCTGTATATTGAATTTGAGAGTTCGTTGAAAAAATTCCAATTAATTATAATCAATTTTAATTGTTAAAAGTTTCTCCTTGATAATGACTTTTATGCTGAAATGTACAAAATAAGAAATAAATACTATGACAAAAGGATTGAATTGAGGTTGAATTTGAATTTATTCAGAAATGTCTGTATTTATACTTTTAAAAATTGCATAGGTTTAAGAAAATAAAACCACAAATAGCATTAATATACTTATCAGTGGAGGGAGTGACACAAGAAAGTTTTGTTTTTTAACAGTATATGTTAAAAGTCTGAAAAAAATAACTGAGCATGTGCTATTGCAGAAAACAGTAAGCCATATAAATGCACAAAATATTGTCTTTATTCTTTCTTTTGGTCAAATTTTACCTTTTTTATATTTAACAAAAATAGTTAGCCAGAAGAAAAAGTTGGGACATTAAAAAAATTAACCTGTACCACTAACAACCCATGAAGGGTCTTCGGTTCAGCACAATATTTGAAAGTACTGTTACAAGGCTAACAGTTGTGCAGTGAGGTGATTGGGCCGAGATCACACTTAACCGCCAGGTTTTCCCTCTTAATTAATTATTTAATTAAGAGTACCCACTTTATAGAGGCTGGGTGTGCCCCATGAGGGTCTCCTGGCCCCAGGGTCGATCAGCTGATGAAAAATTACTACACGTCATCCGGTTTCGAACCTGGAACCTGGAAGCCAGTGCTCACCCACTGAGCTACCATGCTTTCCTGGGACATTAAAAAACTGTTTAAATATTAAAAATTAAATTTTCCTTAAAATCTTAACCCCATAAAAAAAAAAATAATAAATAAAAATTTTTAAATACTGCACTATCCTAAAAACATATTTCTTTATTTTACCTTATTCACTTTATAATTAACAAAAACATAATATTTTATGAATTGCTGTTTCTACACATGCCATAATAAACTGCTCTATAATTTCATAATATTGACATGGCATAGGCGCACTTTTCATTTTGATTGGATGAGTGGGGAGGGGACGAAAGAGCAAAAAAAAAAAAGCAGTACTTATTATTTATAAAAATTCAACATAATTATTGTGAAACGAGCAAATATAAAATTGAATACATTTATATCCCTGAAGGTAGTATCCTAGATCCTATCCTTTACACAGTTTATACAGCTGACATCCCAACCCATCCTGACACTGTCATCACCACGTATGCCGATGACACATGTATTCTATCTGTTAATAATGATCCAACAATTGCATCCCAAACTCTCCAATCACATATCACAAACCTTGAAGAATGGTGTAAAAAATGAAGAATTAAAATAAATTCCAATAAATCCCATCAAATTACCTTTACCCTGCGTCGCAAACCCATTACCTCCTGTCCTACAGTATCCTTTAATAATTCCCCACTTATCGCAGTTGAACAAATCCATTACCTAGGACTCTACCTGGACAAACGACTCACATGGAATCCTCATACAAGACTGAAACGACAAGAAACTGCTCGACGTTTCCGGCTACTCCAAAACTTACTAGACAAACGCTCTAAGCTTTCAATCAATTACAAATGACTCATATATATGACAATAATAAGACCTATTTGGACTTACGGAATTGAGCTTTGGGGCTCCACTAAACCATCGAATTCCTCTCGTATCCAATCCTTTCAATCCGAAATCCTTCATAAAATCCTCAACTCTCCTTACTTTGTCACAAAGAAAATCATCCTTAAAGATCTTAATGCTTCATATGTTTGCGATTTGGCCCAATCCAGATACCTATCCTTCCATAACAAACTCCAGAACCATCCGAATCCTCTCGATCCCTGATAACCCTCTGAGGCGTCTGAAAAGATGATCTACTTATGTAAATATATTATTAGAGTGCTACCAATGGGTAGTTTCTCAACAAGCATTTTCATGTGCTTGTATTATTACTGTGTGCACATTTACTAGTTGTATTTTTTTTTTATAGTACAGTTGTAAATATCAATGAATAAAAAAAAAATAAAAAAAGATTACATTTATATATTCGTTTGGTAGTTGTAGAAATGTTTTATATGCATATGGATAAACTTGAAAATATATGAACAAAACAATTCTTAGTTTGCACAACCTTAAAATAAAAATACTATGTTTTCAAAATCTAACAAGTTAAATAAAAATGTCTATAATGTGTATTTTTTTCCAGCCATTCATACTAAGTTCACCAGGTCGACAATGGATATTTGGTGGAGACTTGAGTCGTGTGGAGGGTCGATCCGTTCGACCTTTTTGGGCTCTTCTCTTCAGCGACCTTCTCCTGTTTGCCAAAGTGAGTCGTGACAGAGTTATATTTGTCACCGAAGATCCTTTGCCCCTCAATACAATCAGCCAAGCTTTATTTTCCATTCGTAAAAAAGGTAGGATAACCTCAATAATTTATCATTACCTACTTCAATTAAATGTAAACATTTGAAATAATGGATATAAATGTGCCAATGTAATATCTTTTTCTGTGTTTAGATCATTCATAACTTTAATTATAATTTTCAGAAACAATTTAATGTAAAGGATGTATATGAAACATTTATTTAGATACATTTAAGTAAGAATTTTTTTTTTTAACAGTATTTATTCCTCTTTTTTCTGGGAAGTTGTCTATTTATTTTTAGTTATTTGGCAATAATAACTTCCAATTGGTAACAATTGAGTATATTTCTATTATCAACGTTACATGTTAACAAGTTAGTTGGGATATCCCAAAATGTCAACTAACTTATTAACATGTAACGTTGATAATAGAAATATACTCAATTGTTACCAGTTGGAAGTTATTATTGCCAAATAACTAAAACGTATTATTCTAAATAATTCTTACTTATATACCTCGAAAATAAGTATCTCCCTTGGGATTAATGAAGAATTTATTTAGATAGTTTTTCATGTTGTTTTACATTATTAAAAGTGGAATTTACAAAAATAAATCAATTTTGTATATTTTGAATAATTTTATTACAAGAATCGGAAGTGCCTAATAATAGAAATAAAATGTTTAAAAATACTAATTTTTAGCAATTGGTTTCTCTGTGTCACAATTATTTGTAAAGTAGGTGAAACGATTTTCAGGTCTTACTTACATTTATTTACTATTACTTTTTTTTTTTTTTGTAGAGTTCGGCCACCAGGCATGCCTGTGAACCAAATTGGGCATCACCTATGCTATAAGAGAAATCTTTTTTCCATTGACTGAAATGCTACACTGGCTCTAATAATTTTTATGAAACATTCCTATAATCTTCAACTTTTTAAATCCTTTTTAATTTTCATATATGTCGCACAATTCCAAGAAATAACAGGGAAAAAAAATTATGAAAAAAATAAATTGAATTTTTCGATTTATGGTTTTCAAATGATCATATCCACCGAAGTCAAATGTTTTCATTCATATTTCATCCCTTTTTTGGAAGGTTCTTAAATTTCCTATTCTTAAATTGGACCAGCAAGTTGATCTCTAATTAAAAATTCTAGAGTACTAATGAACAGCTTCTCATTCATTTCGGAATAAGGAAAAAGAAATGGAAATGGATTGGACACATTTTGAGGAAAGCAGATAGTGCCATCAAAAAAGAAACTCTTCAATGAAATCCTCCAAGAAACAGGAAGAGGAAGACAAAAGAAACATGGCGGATATCTGTACAGAAGGATATGAACCAAGCTGGCAAGACTTGACCAGAAGCAAAAATGATTGCTGCAAAAAGAGCGGAATGGAACGCACATGTAGATGCCTTATGCTCCTCCAAAAGTTAACGGTGATAATTAGCAAAGTTAACCTTAATGAATTTTATATACTAATTTTAAATTATGTTTTTCTTTCTTATTGAAAAATTTATCCGCACCAATTGATAATGGGATAGGCTACTTCATCCTCATTGTGATAAAACCTACACTGAGCGACTGTCAGCTTGAGTTAGAACGTATGGGAATAAAGTTTGCAGTGGCTCTTTACTAAATTATATAGAATTCTCTCAAAATCGTTAATCGTGTGAAATAGTTACTTAGTGCCTCTATCACTGCCTGGCTGTCATTGTAAAAAGTGATATTTTATCTTAGCTCGTCATTCAGCAGTTTGAAGGCACTAATTGTTTCTTCTTTTTTTCTCCGCTGCCTCCTATTTCTGGCATATACGCTGGTTAGACATATGCCCACTACTACCAGTAAAACTCTTTATTTAATTATAATTCTTCTTATGCATTTTTTACTTTCACTTACCTACCTAGTTCTGCCATAAATACTGTTACAAAAGTTGGACTTTGTTTACATCCTTGGGTATTATTCAGATAATCCTTAACCTCTATAAGGTTATTTTCTTTACATGTCAAGGTAATAATCCCAATTAGTTTGTATTTTTCTTTCGTTCCGTTAACATGGAGTGGGGTGATAAGGAAAACCCAATAGCTGTGATCGCCTTATACAAAGTTGGAAAATGTAGGTCAGAGATTTTCAACACTTTGAAACCTTTGCGTATCAGCCGTATGTTCGTGTACCGCACTATAAATAGATATAATGAGACCCTATCTGTATGTGACAGACCTCAACTGGGTCGTCCCCGCACTGTGAGGACGGCAAATGCAGTGAGAGCATTGGCTGCTCAAATCAGAAGAAATCCCATTCGAAAACAATAAATCATGTCTTGGGAAATCTCTGTCAGATCAATGTCTTTGTAAAAATTGACCTTAGGAGGGTGCATTTCGAAGAATGACAGGATAAAGGCTGTCCACTTCCCTAAAAAAAAATTAGAATGAATAGACGCAAAGTGCTCCTTGGCTGTTACACCAATGGCCTTCATCGAAAGATTTTGTTTAGTGATGAAAAAATTTAATCCCCAAAATGATGGTGTGTACACACACAGCTCTAAAGAAGCCTAGGAAATCATTGAGTCATCCCTGCCTCGGATTGGCCCTCAGGAAGTCCTGATCTCAACCCACTAGATTATTGGCTTTGGTTCGAACTGGAGAGGATGGCATGCCACAGAGCACACCCTAACTTGGAAAGTCTCAAACAATCTCTGGTCCGAGCAGTTGAGCGCTTTCCTCCAGAAATGCTGCGTGCTGCTGTTGATTGATGACTGACTACAGAGATTAAATGCCTGTGTCTAGGCAAAAGGGAGACATTTTGAGTAATTTCTTTTTTATTTTACTCTCTATAGATATTCATTTTATTTTCTAATAAAGTTTTTGAAAAAAATAATTTTTCTGTTGAAATTTGTATATATTTAACAATATTTATGATAGGACTATATATGTAATGTATAGTAAGGAAAAGTAGTGCGATCGAACAAAATTTTCAAATTAGAGTTTTCAACGGAAATACATTTTGATTTCCTCTGAGTCCAAATAACCAAGTCCCGCAAAATGGTGTGTGTGTGTGTATGTGAGTACTTGGGTGCATGTTTGTGTGTGTGTGAACAGCCTGGATCAAAAACGAAAAGTTGTACAAAACTGAAATTGGGTATTTAAGGTTTGCGTATGCCTGAGATGTGACAGCAACTTTTCTGTCAAAATTTTTATACCCCCAATTTAACACATTTTTATGATTTTTGTAAAAATCACTCTTAACTATTTTGATTAAACACGTTATGCTAATCTTCAATTAAGTGTTTTTTAATATAAGGTAGGTTTTATCCTCATTGATGTTCTCCAACAGGGCGTAAATATTGATTTCCCAAAATTTCTTACTCTGAAGTACCTTTAATTTTGTTTGTTTTAAAAAATGAACTATTTCAAACTGCAGATATTGAATAAAAGTGGCTAAGTAGAAACAGTGGAAAAAGTTGATCATGAACTAATGGAGAAATAAAAGATGGTATCAAGGGATTGAGAATTGACTCGCATGAGCTCGGGGTAATAGGGTGATGTCAAGGAGCCAAGAACTGCCGAAGAAACCCGAACGCACCTTCAAGCTTGGTGGACGGGTCCCCATTATATTATTTACTTATACATGAACAGTCTGGTATTATTTTATATTTAATTGTATAGATTACAGAAACATAAAAATTTAAATTTGTTCATATAATAGTGTCAAACAAAAGAAATACCCATAATGAAATATCAATGAATATCTGACACTCTTGTCGTACTAAAAAGAATTTGTGGCACTTAATTATTTATTATAATTGGTAAATGGTTGACTGTCGTGGATAATGAAGAGAAGAATAGTTGGGTTGGTCAGTCAAAAAAGAAGGCAAAAATAAATTATAATATTTACTTTTTACATATGCCGACGTTTCGACCTGAAGTTCAGGCCTTCATCAGGGCTAAGAAAATAAATAAATATCTGGTTATTTTCTTAGCCCTGATGAAGGCCTGAACTTCAGATCGAAACGTCGGCATATGTAAAAATAAATATTATCATTTATTTTTGCCTTCTTTTTTGACTGACCACCCCAACTATTCTTCTATTAATTATTTATTAAGTTGGCACTATACTTTGTGTCAAAGTTTTTCTAAGATTTCAGTGTCAGATTGCTTGACTAGTTTCTGATCACCCTCACTCTTATGAAATAGTTTCCTACATTCTTCCCGGCTCTATAAGTAGTTTTCTTGTTTGGCAAGCCCATAAATGGTTTTCAAGCCCTTTGCTTCTATCCGAAAGTATTTCGAGCTTGTCAATCCAACAAGGTAACCCGCCTCTTGAAATTCTCTGATGGTTCATAAAGCAAGTTTTAATAAATCATGTCTTAATAATAATTGCAAAGTCTTCAAAAAACAATGGGGAGACTACACCATGATATTTTAGTTTGTAATAAAACATGTTTTATTGAATGTAGTTTTTTTGTTGACTAAACAACACCGAGTAGTAATGATACCCTGCAGAAACACTTCCATTCTGTCGTGATCACAGAGTTCCAGACTAGTTATAATAATATCAAGATTAAAAGATCTGAGTCCATACAACAAAAAAAAAAAAAAAAATTAAAAATTTCAGTCATATTGAAATTGATTAAGTATAAAAGTTAATTTTTAATTTCAATCCTTTCCAAGTTTTAACTTGATGTTAATAAGTCTTTTTTTTAGCTCACCAGTTCCTGGATTTGTATGATATGATATTTAATTTGTATTTGTTTTTTATTGTTTTTCTCTTAATTTTTTTTTAACTGCAAATCAATTGCTTAATGCTAACTTTGAATGTGTTAGCTACTGAGTTCCGACTATTGATCAGCAACTCACCAGCGGGAGCAGAGAGTCCTGCCGTTGGGGGATGTGCAGATCTACAGCTCACGCGCACGCCCCGGAAAGGACCCAGGAGGAGGACTGTTGCTCTCAGGGCCCCGACTCCGGAACTGAAAGCGGTTTGGCAAAATTTAATTCAGAGGCAAATGTAAATACTCTTTGTTTTAATAAATGTTAACTTTTATAAAAATACTTCGGAAATTTTACTGAAAATAGTTTAAAATTTTAATAGATATGTTTCAATCAGTGATGGGCAAAATAGTAACCAATGATAACATGATCACAACTGAAAATAAAACTTAATGACTACGCCAATCTTATACTTGATTCAGTAGCACTATAAATATCTCAAAAGATCATGAAACGATTACATGATCATAATCGTGTAATCACTTAATTGTAATCATGTAATCATAAAATCAATTGCACGATTACTCTCTGTTTAGAGATAAGCTAGAAGGAAAACCAGTGTAAAATATTTTTATTTTTATTTATTTTTTTTTTTTGTCGGACGCGCGTTACTATGGTAATATCGCGTTTTCAATTCTTTTTGAATTTCTTTGTCATGAGGGTCCACTATTATGTTGCTGGAGGCACTTTTTATGAAAATACTATCGGGTATAGGATTTGGCCTTTGCACATCCAGTTTTTTTTATTATTTTTTTCGGAATAGTTTGATGTAAGAGTTCACTATTATGTTATTGGAGGCACTTTTTAATGACATACTATTGGATTTAAGATTGTGCCATTGCACATCCAGTTTTTTATTCTTTGAGGATTTCTTTGATATAACAGTTCACTATTATGTTGTCAAGAGATTGTAAATAACCTACTGAAAGTTAATTTTAAATAATTTGTTTTTTCGGCTGGAATAGCGAATAGCCTTCCACTTTTATATCGGGGCTTTAAGGTTATTTACACTCGTGATTAATAAAATAAAACCCCGACACTGGATATAGACTTTTTTAGGGTGTTTAACTGTTGTTGGGAATTCGGGAATCTAATACCTTTTGTGACACTGAGTGAGAAGAAACAATAAGAATATATATATCAGAAATGTGGGACTGAGTAAATACACTTTAAATGAATTGACTCACTTGGTTTGTTATTCTTCAATTGTAAGGCCTATAGGACAACTAAATAAAATTACTTTCACTCCTTTATAATAAAATAATTTATTTTAACAACTGTAATAAATTAATGTATAAAAGTCTTATAATTGTAGGCTTGATATTCTTAGTCTTAAATGTAGTAAGCCTCTCTTCTCAGATGACGTCTTCTTGTGTTGGTGTCCAGGCCTAAAGTGCCCGGCGTCCTTCTGCCAGCTGTCGCTAGCTACCTGCTCTGATCTTTTTCCAGCGTCCTTCATTGATTGTTTATCGATATGAGACCTTTCCATGAATAATTTGTCCACTGCATAATTGAGTACAATTCACAGTACAACCTCACATTCCTATATATTATATATACCTTCTCATTCCCTCACACACTGTCACATAAAGGAGTAAATACGGGGGGATGTCTACTACAGGTTGTTGGAGGCGCTTTTTAAAAACATACTATTGGATTTAAGATTGCGCCATTGTACATCCAGTTTTTTATTCTTTGAGGATTTCTTTGATATAACAGTTCACTATTATGTTGTCAAGGGATCTTTTTATGAGAACACTGCCTGATTCATTAGAACCAGGAATTAACACAACTCGTATTCTAAGAATAAAAATAATCTTTTTTTTTTTTTAAAATGATGTTTCTGTGGTTGTATTGATGATTATGATGTATATTTATAATTACAAAGATTGTTAAGAAATCATTGTCAGACTATTTCTCTAATTTTTTAAAAGTTGATATCCAAATGTGGCATAATTTTGAAATAAAATGATCCATATACACTATTTAAAATAAGTGTCCCACCTTTACGATGAGTTAAAGTGGCTCTTTCCTTCTTTCGGCAGACAATATTTCCTTGGATCTCTCCTATTCCAAACGATCAACACCCGACACCCTTCCTACATCTACAGTCTCCTACAGTTCAAACCCGTTGTCCACTCCCAAAAATCAAGATCCTGTGTTTCCGACCTTTATATCCCTTCCCATAGAACTAAGACATATGAATATTCCTTTATTGCCCGATCCACTGCTTTCTGGAATTCCTTGCCATCTGATATCCGCCATGCCTCTTCCTTATCCTCATTTAAATATCATCTCTACCAATTCCTTCTCACATCCCAAACTGACGTTATACAATGAAATAAATATTGCGAAACAGATTTTGACTGAGGTGAATGGTTGTTAAAATTGATTGAGTTTTAATTTTAAAAATCAACCCATGTTGTTTTGTTTTTTTCAAAACGGTGTTATTTTTATTTGTTTTAATATACTTTTACTGAGATACTGTATATTTTCTTTAATATTGATTAATGTAATGTATGGCCATATGTAGTTCTTATTTTTTTGTTCATAACTGTTATTCATATGGGACCTCGTCCCAGAATAAAGTTTACTTTCTATCTATCTATCTATCTAAGTAATTTTAATTTTTGTATTTTCACATTTTCTAGAATATACGTGAACACTGCCCGAGGGGGGACCCCCGCTAGCAGCCCGATGGATTCGCCAGACCCACTGACGGCAGATTCGATGGAGTCGATTACGCTCAAACGACAGGTACTCGCAGACCTCCTTCCCCCGGCACCTTCCTGAGGTTTACCTTTGCATCTTAACAGATGCTGTAGCCCTACTAGGTTCTAATCTCCATTCCTGCCAATTTGCACATGTACATATCAGAAACAATATAAAACACTTAATTAACAGTTAATTGAAGTTACCAGAAGTGCCAGTGCTATATCTTTGTTTTTAGAAGCTGATTTGGAAAATCCGAATGTGGTTTTTGTTAAATTAAAATTTCATGTAAATAACAACTTTATTCATCTTTATTTATTTATTTTTTAACATTAAAGCTTAGGTAGGTTTTCAAGAAAATGTAAGTTTAGAAAGAAAAATATATGACATAAGATAAACAATTAATATAGAAACACATTTAGATATAATTGTGTGACTTTGTACTCTACAGCCTACTTGTAAATGTTAAATGAAGGTGGTATTTAATTTTGTTTAATAAAGTGATTTGTTTATAAATTTCTCTTTAAAAAAATTATTATGAACTTTAGTGAAATTATGATAATAATACAATGAAAACAAATGAAAACAGTTCTGAAATGTCACTCCAACATGGGTGATCAGGAGAGTCTCACTGTTGATCAGATGTTGAAAATAGCCAAATGTGCCCAAAAATAAACAGAGGCAATCAACCTCCATTAGTTAGAATATATTTAATATTAAATTATTTTCAGCATTTGAAGATCTATGTTATCTGCCATCTACAGTTGAATATTGAAATAAAAATTCAATTTTCATGCTTCCGAATGATCATAATCACCATCTGTACGTTTTCTATTATTAAGAACAGTTACTACGAATAAAAATATGTATGAAACTAAGGATCCAATTAAAGTAATGGCTATTAAGTTTAGGAAATTAATGAAAAATTTAAGGTTACATTTTAATAAATTTAAATTATTTTCTTAATTAATTCTAATTTAAACAGTTCTGTTTTAAAAAAAACGTTTTTATAATTCAGTCTTCAGTGTAGGTACCACGGAAGTAAGTTTATATTTGTATTCTTATCAGCAAAAAACTATATATTTTTTTTTTTTATGTAAAAATAAGTTTGTTGAAGTTTAATTTGTTGAGGTAGAACAGTAATAAATATATATCGACAGCCACACTACAAAAACCTGTGAGAACAAAATCTAAAAATTTTCAGGAGACTAAAAACTGTATAATTTTTGTTTTATAAGCATTATATTTTCGGTTCAATTTTTTTTGCCGTCCTAAGACAAGGATTTAATGCTCTATATAACTTTTTTTTATCATATTTCTGGAAAATAATCTTTCAGAGTCATTACTTTAAGGGAATTTTCTTTACATTTAGATTTTCTTTTTCAATTTTTTTTAATATTTTACTCAATCTGCTCTGCTACCTTATATCTATAAACATTCATTATTTCATATAAAATTTATTTAAAATATATATTTTTCTGTTTTTGTAAAGAGTTGCTCAGTTTCAATAGTCATATTGCATCTATTTTTCTGGACTCATGTTTCTTTCTTATAAAAACTCAGAAATATGTAAGTTTATATGAGTTATAAGAATGTTTATTATGTTATATTGTTTGTTTCATAAATAAATATGAAACCAGATAAAAAAAGAAAAACAATTGTTTTTTTTTCTAAGCCTATTCTATGGCATATTTTCTAAAGTGTACTGCAGATCTTTCTATATATCTATATAGTGCTCGATACTTACAAATTTTTTCTGAACTAACATTTATTATTGTTTATTAATGTTATAGCTATATGAATTATCTAATATGTTTTCTTATCACCAATCAATTAATATTGTATATTATGGATCCATGGTCTAATTAAAAAAAAAAATTATTTCGCTTAGTCCTTTAACTCTTGATAAGGTCTCTAGGGGTTTATTATTGGATGTTAATTCATTTATAACTTTATTTTGTGTTTACTTGTAAGGCAATGTGCTCCTATCTCCCTGTCCTGGGTTTGAGTTTGGCTTAGATAAATAATTATTTATTCTGCTATAACAGCCGTGAATCGATCCTGATACACATCCAACCTTAATAAAATATGTACCCGTAATATAAGTAAAAACGTAGTGCTTAAAAGTGTTTCTGGTGAAATCAATTCTCTGCACAACCATTGTTCTGAGAATTTTCATAGATAAAAAAGTTGTATGTTATTGTAAAATAAAGCCATCCACTAAGTTTTAAACGAACGTAGATAATTTGATAAAAAGGTGTCTGCACCAGTCTAGTCCACAGGTGGGGGAAACCTGTGCCCTGTAGGTCACATCTGCCCTCTCTGATCTCGCTGGGACCTCTATATGTTTCTGCTCAATATTTATTAATCTATCACAAGAATTAATTATTAATTAATCTATTTTAAAAATTAGAATCTATAAAACCATTACCTTACCTGCAGTTCTTTATGGATGCGAAACTTGGCCGCTTACATTAAGGGACGAGCAGCGTCTTACGGTTTTTGAAAGTAGAGTATTCTGTAGAGTATTCGGACCGAAGAAGGATGAGTTAACCGGAGAGTTCAGACAGTTACACAATGCCGAATTGCATGAACTGTATCCGGATAATATAATTGAGGTAATTTCATCGCGGCGAATAAAATGGGCTTGTATAATTGTAGAACCTTCGGGTTCGCTAAGCCTTTATATTATTATCACAAGAATTAATTATTTAAGTAACAAAAATTTGAAAATTAATGGAATTATGTTGAATTTATGTATATGGGTGTAGGTATTTAGTGATTAATAAAAATAGCAACAGTAAAATATAAAAAATTGTTACGGAATCCTTTAGCACTGCCTAACCTTATTGTGGTTTCTAATGATAATTAGATTCTACACCTATGGTATAGTCCTTATCTAATTCGGTTATGAATTAAAAATTAAACAAACAGCTGTTGTTGGTATTAGTGCTGCTTTTATCATTATAGCTGCAAATATAAAAAAAAAAAAAAAGTGGAAAAAAGGTGATGACGGAAAGACTTTAAAAAATGGAACATTCCATGGCAATAACTTGATGTCAGATTGGTTACTTTTAAAAAATAGTAACTTATCAAAATAATCAACTGTGTGAATATTTCAAAAATAGTTTTTATAATTAAAAGCTCAAGGATGAAGACATTGTCTGTTAATTATCCAATCAGTTTCCATCACGGGGAAGATACATCGGAAGAAGAAACCGCACCGAAGATTTGAAGAAACTATGAGTAATGATTTTTTTCATCTTTAAACGCATGACGTACACATTTCCTTTATACATTTGCATGACTGCGATTAGTTTTTAATATGTAATAAACATGAAATATTTTGTTAGAAGTTAGCTGAGAATTTCAAGTCAAGGGATAGTCTTTTAGATTTTAAGTCTGTTTAGATCATTATTTATAGTTTTCTGTTTGATTTACGATTCATAGTTAAAATAAGTCAGTAGATCTTAGAATAATTTAGAATCTTTAATCAATGTGAAAAATTTTGAAAATGTAAATAGTGGTTAAATCCAACGAAATGTCAGTTTTAATTTAAAAATAGAGAGATGAAATTGAATCATGTCTTTCAAATTGTCAGGCTATTTAATTATGAAAATATGATATACACATCTCTATTAGAGATCACTGGCATAAGAGTACACAGATAGCTTACCAACTTAAAGCTGGACTTCATGTTTATGGTTACTTCTTATTTAGTTCAGTCAATGAATGATTATAGAAGGAAATGGCGGGGATACAATTTTTGACTTTAGGGAATTGTTTGTACTAGTAGAGATGTAAACATACTAAAAGTTCCCACTCCTAGGTGTTGAGCCAGATATGGGGGAGGGAGGGAGGAATTAATCGTAGAACGAAGCAATCAAGAATTAGCCAGTTAAATACGTTTAAAAAAAAAAGGTAAAATATTTTTTATTCCAAATAACCGATAGTCGAGGATGGATATCTCATATCATATCATTATCAATCATATTGCAAATTTTATCAGCTTTAATTTTGTATAGAACGTCTTTGTCGATGTGATGGGTAGTTTTCCCGATATAAGCAAAAACCTGAAAAACAGCAATAAACACAAGTCTCCCTCTTTCCCCCCCACATCTGGCTCAACACCTAAGAGTGAGGACTTTTAGAATGTATACTTTCCTTCCTAGAGTCCATAGAATGTCCCAAAGTAAAAAATTTTGTCCTTGCCATTTCCTTATATACTCCCTTTTTAAGCATTCATTTATTGAACTAATATTCCAATTGCAGCTTTCCAAATCTAGTAGTAGTCTAAATTCTCTTTCCTTTTCCTTTATTAAACATTTAAATTTTATTTTCCAGTTCAGTCTACAACTGTTGTTCCAAGGTAGACGAAGTCTATAAGGGCTTCTCCATTCCAGTCTTAACTCTTACTGGCGCTAGTTTTCGTACATTATCATTTTCAGTCATTGCATTACAAGCCTGTGTTGGTCTTAGTTAGGAGCCTTCCATCAATCTATTGCCGTTGCACTCCAGTCACGTAAGTTCAAGATAAGCCTGTTCCTTTGGTATAACGTTTCTTCTGGCAGCTTTTTAGCAGGATCTTTCACGCTCATTCTAGCCATATGACTGATCTACCTTATTCTTTTAATTTTTATTTGAGTGATGTCAGGTTCTCCCAACATTTTGTACAATTCCCTGTTCGGTATTCCTTCTCCTTGAGACCATTTATATTAATAGCCCTGGAAATTCTAAGTAGTAATATTCCTTTTAAAGACGATCATTCCTTTTTCTTTGGTATTTGAAAATATGATCCATGATTTGGGTGCAGATGTGAGCATTAATCATTTAATTACACTTGTTTTTGTTTTTTTAAATATATTAATAAATAAAAGTTAAACTTTTATACTAAACCTAAAACTTTGTCTGCAAAAAGTCCCATCGAAACTGTTAAAATAAATAATGATGTAGAGATGGTTGACCGTTGATATAATATGAGAAGGAGTTAGTCGGGGATGCGGTCAGATAAATACTAAATTAAAATATAGTAATTATTTTATTTTAATTTTGCCGACGTTTTGACCCACTTTGCAGGTCGTCTTCAGGGCTACAAAAGATACAAAACATGGTGAGAATAAAAATTAAATATAAGTAGATATAAAATAAAAAGAAGTTGTCAGATACAGAAATAAAAGATGATATCAGAGATATAGTGGGTGACAATGTAATCTGTATCTGACAACTTCTTTTTATTTTATATCTACTTATATTTAATTTTTATTCTCAACATGTTTTGTATCTTTTGTAGCCCTGAAGACGACCTGCAAAATGGGTCGAAACGTCGGCAAAATTAAAATAAAATAATTACTATATTTTAATTTAGTATTTATCTGACCGCACCCCCGACTAACTCCTTCATGTTAAAATAAATAGTTTCAACCCCTGCTTTCCTGATAAGTGAAATTATCCACTTCCTGGAACTTTTAAGTACCTATTTCTATGAATTCCTGGGTTCCGTTAGTTGTAGATTCAGCTGTCCTCATATAATCAGTTTCTTCTTCATTAATTCATAGAGACATTTTATCTTCTGCCTGGTTCAGCAATAAGAATACTTCTTTCACTGTTCAGAAAGAACGAGGTAAAATGACCAAATCAACTAAATTGCCTGAAAGTATTACAGGGCTGTTGTTGGTTTAGGTTTTAGATTTTTCTATTGAGTTCTCAAGGAGTGCTGTATCATATCCACGGAGAAGAAACTTGATTCACTACACTCATGAAGTTTCTTCGATCCAGGAAAATCCTCTCTGTTCATCTTTTGCATATTGCCCATTCATCTTGAAGATAACTTATGGGTATTATTCTAAAGGGACTTGTCCCAGAATAAATAAAGCATTATTATTATTATCTCTTTATTTTCTACATATACAATGGTGTTTATAATATGTAATAGTTGGGGACCTATTAGGTCAGCCAAAAATTACATTTATATATTTTCATAATTATTTAATATTTGTGAACTTCCTGACTATACTTGCTGTTCCCAACAACATTGCTTGTTGCATTCTTTTGATCGTCCGAGATGGTAGTTCTGGTTGTCGCAGAGAAGATAGAGTTTCTTCCGGTGTCAGTCCGTTGCACGAGATTACAATTGGCAGAATTCGAGTTTCTTTTAAATATGATACAATTGTTTGAGAAGGAGTTAGTCAAGGGTGCGGTCAAATAAATAAAAAATTAAAATATTTTAATTTTTGCCGATGTTTCGACCCACTTTGCAGGTCCTCTTCAGGGCTACAAAACATGTTGAAAATAAAAAATAAATATAAGTATATATAAAATAAGAAGAAGTTGTCAGATACAGAAATAAAGGATGGTATCAGATATATAGTGGGTGACAATGTAGTTAAATATTAAGAATTATATATGTAGAAGATACTAATAAATGGAAAATAAGTAGGAATAAAAATAAAAATAAAGGAGAATATAGCATGTAAGTTAAAAGTAAACAGATTTTAGTTTGTTATACACTTATTCCTTATCTTTTATCGCAATCTGTTTACTTTTAACTTACATGCTATATTCTCCTTTATTTTTATTTTTATTCCTACTTATTTTCCATTTATTTGTATCTTCTACATATATAATTCTTAATATTTAACTACATTGTCACCCACTATATCTCTGATACCATCCTTTATTTCTGTATCTGACAACTTCTTCTTATTTTATATATACTTATATTTATTTTTTATTTTCAACATGTTTTGTAGCCCTGAAGAGGACCTGCAAAGTGGGTCGAAACGTCGGCAAAAATTAAAATAATTAATATATTTTAATTTTTTATTTATTTGACCGCACCCTCGACTTACTCCTCATATTATATCAACGGTCAACCATCTCTACATCATTATGGATACAATTGTTTCATCTCTTCAGCTAATTCTACGTACTTTCTCTTTTTTTTTGCTACTACCTTGTGTAGGTTATCATCAGAAGGAACCTCAATCTCTATGATAAATGCAGATTGCTCTTACCTTTATCTATTACAAGAATGTCTGTTCTATTGTAAGGGATGGTGTGATCTGTCAGGATCGGTTGATCCCAGAACACCTTGACATTGCGCATGGAGATAATTGGTTCTGAATGATATTTATAATACGGACAATATTAATCGACGAGTTCCATTTTCTGAGCCATAGCTTGATTCACTACCTTATCCGCATTGTTGTGTCTGCAAGTATTCCTTACCCGCAAGTATTGTGCATCCCGATGTTACATGTTGAATTGATTCAACTGCATTTTTGCATAAGCGACATAAGTCATCGATGCCCTCTCTACATACATGTTTTTTGTATGCTTTTGTGGCTATTACCTGTTCTTGAATAGCAAACAAGAATCCCTCTGTTTCCGGAAAGATACTTCCACTTATTATTATTATTAATTTCATATTGTGAGTTATGCTCTTTGGAATATAATTATATTAGAGTGCTTACCTTGTTTCATTTCATAAATAGAGTTTAAAACTACTGTAAGGTCAAAGTAAGAAAATTCCTCTCTGGAACCTAGGATTTCTACAAGATATTTGTTACGGCCTTCATCATAAGACTGCTACAACATCACTGGTTCTTGGCTGCCTCTAAAAGTCTCCGCCAGTTGGCACGGTACTCTGATGCAGCTGTCCAGTTCTGAATTGGTCGGAGGTCTCTTGATTCCACAGATACTACGTCCGGCCACATTGCCCTTAGTCTTCCTACTTTTCTTGTCCTATTCAGTTCCTCCAGCATCAGTAGTTTAAGAATTCTGGAACTATCCTTTCGAGAGACGTGGCAAGCCTAATGTAACCTTCCAATCTTATTAAACGTGACAACATCCATCTCCTTGTTGAGCTCCTAAAGCTCTTGATTAGCTTTTTTTACTAAGCCTACTGGATATTGTTTTGTGGTATAGTTGTACACTTAGGTAGGGCTTATCAGCTACTGAATTGAAACTTATGGATCTTGGTATGCGCTTCTTAATTTAAAAAATAAAACAAACTGATGCTTAATCAACTGCAGCCCCTTTTATGTTCTTCCCATTTACCCCCATGTATTTTTCTTTTTTAATAATGCTTCTATAAAAGTTGTTTTTAAGGAAACTTGTTAATTTTTTTCATAATAACTCAAAATTAGGAAGGAAAAAAATTTCTATAAGGCAGTTTGCATTTATAGCTTTAAGAACTAAATTTTTTAAACAAAAGTTTAACATCTTAAAAATAAGCAATTCTAAAACTGACATTTCACTTGATAAAGTCCAACATTATTCTATATTTGTGTAGTTAGTATTTCTGAAAGGGAGAGACTTTCCTAGTTATTAACTTATAGATTAATTGATACTATTTAGCCACAAAAATACCAAACGTTTGTTGGAGTAGTTTTATCTCTATATATATTGAAATATGTTTAGTAGTATTATGAATGCTGAGTATATTGTAATTATATGGTAAAAGGTGACATATTTTTATATTAAAGATCCGTATTTGATTACTTTTGTTCAATGGGTTCATGAACTGCTTGCCTAAAGTATTAAAAAAAATATAATTTCATTTTAACGAAAAAATATAATATTGTATGTTAATGATTCACAACCTCTGGTAAACAGTGTGTTAAACGTTTCATCTGCCTAATTTTCTCCCCTGGTTAAAATTACCTTCTTATTTTTTCCAATTAAGTGGACTGGAAAGTGTGTCCAATAGTTTCAATTTTATTAGTTTTACTAGCTCAGTTAAAGAAATATACATATATTTCTGTACTTCAAGAGAAAGAATACCGTGGCCAATTTTTGTATTTCTTCAGATGAGCAAATTTTCCATAACTCAGCTCTTAAAATTTTTTTCATAGTTACTAAATCTGTACTCAGGAGGTAAAGGACACAATCTCAAATTTTTTTATTTGGTGTGGGAGCCAATTTTCCAAAACATTGAGCTGTTAAAATTTGTTTCTTAGTTACGTAACTATTCAACAAAAAAATGGACATGGTGTCGTTTACCTCCGGGGAACAGATTTATTGATTTAAAGTAAATAGTACGATATTAACCAATAGTGCTAATATTAATTTTTATGGTTATTTTTGATAACAATGATGCATGGCCATTGCGTGGTTTGTAGGTTCCTGGGGAAGATTTTACCTGCCATCACACTCTCACCTATTCACAAATTAGCTCTATTTAAATAAAGAGAGGTGTAAATGTTCAAGTAGAGAGATATATTTAAAACACCGATCCTTCTTATTGCAATTTAAATGAAGCTCTAAAACTTAGGCCGGGATGTCGCTACAAAGAAAATAAACAATATTTTTGTATTCTTCACTAACTGTGAACCTCAACCCTTTTAATGTTTATACTTCTACTATTAATGTTTATACATTAATTTTTATAAAACTTGCATTTCATTACAACCTGCTCATATATAGAATAAATTCTTTTGAATTTTTTTTTTTTAATTTATTTATTTAGGTATATAATATTCTGTCTCGTGGACAATAATTATAGTGATAAATGAACACATTCACACCATGTATACAGAAAATACAAAAATAAAATAATAATAAAAAAGAACAATCTTTTGAATTAAAAAAAAAAAAAAAATACTTTTCAAGATTCATTTAATGTTTATTGCTTTTATCAAATCAGTTTGTTTCTGCAGGTTGAACCAAAGCCCGTAACTGTGAATGAATTGATTGAGCATCGTTGTCGACAGTTGGGCAAGTCGGGAATGAGCAAAGGATCGGCCCTGCACCTCTCGCTTTGGATGAGGGGCCAGCTCGGAGAGGGCTCACCTGAAGAACTGTCCGAACCTGAGATCTGGTCTCCGGAGAGGATGAGGAAGAGAGTCCAAGAGCTAGGTGTGCCGTCGCGGGGGAGGAGTCTCTCGCGCTGTGAGGAAATAGATCTCTCCGATCACAGCACTTCTGATAGCCAAGTAAATATATTTGTCTTTGCTCGTTTGCCTCCTTTCATCAGAAATAATTAAGTAAATCTTTAACAAAATAGTAAAATAAATTATGAAAAAAATATAAAAAATTTTATTTTAATCCACATTGGAATGTTACGATTAATTTTTGTTTTTCCAGATAATACAATTATATATTGTTTGCTAAGTTGTTTATCAATTTTGAAACACAACAAAACAAGAATATGGCCTCAAATACTTGTTGGTGTTGATAAATGTTTTTTATTTTGTAAACGTAACCTAAATATTCAATTATTTTTCATAAAGCTAATACAAGATGGTACAAAAAGAATGATTATTTTTTAAATAAATGAAACTTCAAAGACTGTTAATTTACATATTTTAATATTAATATCAATTCGAGATCTTTCAGGCAGTTTCGGTTAACAGTAACAATCAATCCTTACTGGAAGACTTGTATTTAATAAATTCAAATATAACTTTTATTCTTGACATAAAATAATAAATTTTCCATTGATAATTGCTCTCATCATTAAGAATTCACAAACACTGTAATAACTAACTTATTCATAGATTTATCAGTACCAAACTAACTCACTTTTCAAATGGTAAACTTGACTGTTAATAACTTTTAATCGACTGAAGGATAACTAACTTTTAAATGAGTTTAGTTCTCTTTCCATTCCGTGAATAAACTACTAACTCTGTGTATGGAACTATTTACTTATATATTTCATTTATAATAATTATTTATTATGTGTGGATATTTCTATAATAATTGAAAACAAACTGAACTTCAGTACCATTCATATCTTTCAATTAACTTGCATTATTTCACAGTTTTCAACATTTAACACGTTAGCAGCGGTTACAATCCCTGGGCTCCGATATTCTTCTCGACTACCAAACGGCCGGGATTGTTTCGAATTTTGTCTATTTTATGAAGTATCTAAAATGGTAATTATTAAAAATATTTTAATGGGAGTTGGATAGATGTAAATATAAGAGCGTAAATAATCATCACATCCAATACAAAGTTTTCGGACACCAGGGACGAATACCATACCAGACTGATAAAAAATTATTTCCCTACGATACCTCCTCCCGGCATCTGATATATATTCCTGCCGTGGCAGGACAGTGCACATGCATGGCCTTGTCATCTTCGGGCTTCTTTCGCGCAGTAGCTCTTGAGAGTTCATCTTGAGACTGTTCCCATTGCTTATGTAACATGTATAAATAAATAAATAAATAATAACATGCATATAAATAATGTATAAATTATATCTTGAAAATGATAATTTTATGTAATAAATTTTTTCTCATTTCATTTTCAACATTTAAGATTTATTTCCCTAAAAAGAACACTTGTTTATTAAAATAAAGAGAAATAATAAAAAAAGTTGTCATATAAACAGCATCGGACTCCCGAGTCCACTCCTACGATTGTTGGCCATTAATGAGGACACAACAGATAGAGACTCTGAATAGGGAATTTAGTTCACCTTTGTTATCAAAAAATACTGGTGTACCTCAAAACTGATACATGTCTCCAGCGTTCGTTGCTGTTATGAACTTCATAACTAGTGTTGGTCGCCAGGGACAGATATCATCGGAAAATACATTTAAGAGATATCATGCTCAACAGCTAATGTGTTAAAACTATGGCTATATTAAATTTTTCAAAATATAATTAGATTAGTATTTAAAAGTAAATGTTATGTTTGATGAATTCGGTGGTCGAATATCCGATAAAACAGGACATGATTCAATATGTGCTGCATAGATGGCGAACTCATTGTTGCAGATATCACAGTTGAAGGATTCTGCTACATCTATTTTATGTAAATGTTTTTTCAAGTGATCATCCTGAATTCTACACCTGCATCTTTTCATGGTTTATCTATTGGGACCACAGGCGGATCTACGGGGGGGGCTTTCAGGCTGAAGCCTCTCCCAAAATGGTAAAATATAACCATATTTTACAGAAAAAAGTACTAAAAACTATCTCTTAAGATATTCTTGTTCGTTTAATTACATTTAATAGGACTTCAAGAACCACTTAAACATCTTTTCGTATAGGTAGTTAATTTCTTTCTTTTTTTTTTAATTAATCATTTTTATACTTATATGAAAAAAATCTTTCGGGCTGAAGCCCTCCTCCAAAATTAAATCCTGGATCCGCTAGTGATTGGTACCCATATTACCCATCTCCTTCCAGTTTTTAGAGCCCGTTTTTTATCAAAAGCAGCACTTATCTGCTCTTCGATCAGTTTCTCTTATTGGGACTTGAAGGTTTTGTAATCACGACCATATTCTTCTTTGAACCACTTACGTAATCTGATAAAGAAGTCTTTGACATTCTCCTGCTTTGTCCATCTTTCATTAGCTTTCTTCTGTTCCATGGAATTCCTCTTTTCTGGAATTCTTTCATTACCTCAGCATCCCACTTAGTTCTAAGTCATCCTCTACCTTTTTTTCCATCTACTTTGGTTTGATAAGTCTTGCTAAAAATTCTGCTAATTTATATTTCATCCTTAAAAATGTTTTCTAGCCTTCTCAGTTTATTTTCATCTATTAGTTCATTTGCTCGCTTAAGAATCAGGGTCGATCTGATAGTGGTGTTACGGACTTGATCTATTCCTTTTTTTTTTTTTTTTTTTTTTAATGTTGGCTTTAAGCACGTCGACCCCTTTGGGTTCATTGTGCGCCAATATTCACTAAGTCGTTTTGTTTAAAACGTTAGTCCTGCCGCTTCCGCGTATCTAAGTAGGCTGGTTGGGTTGACCGACTCAAATCTTCTGGGGAGTTTCTCCGGGGAGTCCGACTCAAAACAAATAAAGGTTATGGCTTATCTTAGATGTAACCTCTTCATTTCCTACTTGTTGTTATCACTAGGAGTAACTGTTTCATACACATCTTTGGAATGTAGCACCCCCAAGTTCAGTCCACCGTAAGAAGAATACACTAACCACTTATAATCAACACCAATATCATTCTTGGGCTCGAGAGACCGCTACCCTGTTCGTCCAAATATTTAACCAATACAATTCATTCTTTTTGTGCCATCTTCCAGATTACAAAAATTAATCAATTTTCCTTGCATTATTATCATTGTTTCTCTTTTCTTTTCTTTTTTAAAATGAATGAACTAAATGAAACTAAATGAACTAAATGAAAATTTTGAATTGATTTTATATGTTTCACAGATGACAGTAAGATCGTTTTCTGGGAACTCTGAAAAACTAATGGCTGTGTGTCGAAAATGTCATAAAACGTGCCTTTTGAACAATAATAACAATAACACCAATTTGAACAATAACGACGTAACTAAAAGAATTGACATAAATGCAAACTGTCCAAAAACTGAAGGATTCTGCGACGACTGGGGAGAATCGAGCAGCGCAGCTTTGAGCCCCAGCGATCCGTTCTTGCCAGTTCCTCACATCTCCGTCCAACCTGCGACCCCGTTAAACAATAACTTTCCATGGACCAGCATAGAACTCAACAGTACATCTTTTGTGAGTTTCATCTTTATATTAAATTATATAAATACAATTATATATTTATTGAAAATTTGACTTAGATTATAACATATTTTTTTATGTATAACTGTTAGAACTTGTTGAACTCTAAAATTGATTTGGATCATGCAATGCTTCATACATAAGTTACAATTCAAAATAATAATAACTGTTTAATAGAAAATTTTAATTAATTTGATAAAATGTGTGAAAAAACAAAATGGAAACAATGTGTATTTTATTAGAGTAAGGCTCGAAATCGGTTTTTTACCAAATATAAGCTCCTGTCAGACTCAAATACCATGAATGGGGTAACGTTGGATTCAGAATGTCATGGGAGGTTAGCGAATCGTATTCTCTACTTTTGTTTTTCTTTCTAAAATAAATAAAGTCGATACAAACATTTTGCTAGGCTTCAATACAGGAACGGTGGTAGGTTTGTAGATCGATACAGGACAAATTGGACCTTGAAGATTTTGATACGTACTATTTTCCAGATAACGCAAGGCATAGGGTTCGCATCCACACAACCTTACATTTATTACTGTCGTTGAATACAAGTCTCATTTCGTCGACTTGAGGCCTCTATAATAGAGAGAGGAGGAGTTTATATTATTTATCGATGGTATTTTTGATCGGCAAGCCATATCATTGTTAATTCTTCACCAAATCTCAAGATTGAGCCACCAATTTCAAAGGCTTCCTTCTCCTTCAGGCGGACAAAATAGTACAATCAACATAGGCCTACTAGTTAACATAAAATAAACAAAAGTATGCACTATGTTGCTTTTTTTCATTCTGAGATCTATACGAACACCAACTTTGACAAAACATAAACTAAAAGGACATTATTAATTGTAAAAACGTATAATTAAATTAAATTTCTAATATTTAAAACCATAAATCAAGCATTAAATGAGAGAAGTGAACTGTTATATACTCTGTTCAGACGATAATCAAAGTCAAAACTAACACAGAACTCAATACCTAAACATACTTTAATCAGTTTGGCAAATTTTTCATTCCGTGAAAAAGACGCGTATAGAAATTTATAAAATTATGACATATTATCTCAGTACCTCAATGTGTTTCCAACACAACATAGTGACTTATACATGCCAATTAATAGTAAGAATGGGCACTACCGTTACTAGCACGCCTGATGTCATGGCAAGACTGAAAAGGTGGTGGATGAGAGACCTTTTGTGAATTAATTTTATCTAAAATAATGTCATGGACTGGAAGAGATGCCACTGGGTATTTTTTCTTCCTTATGCTTAACATGGCACTTTTTCACGGGCGGATCTACGTGGGAGAGCTTTCAGGCTGAAGTCTTCTCCCCCTCTCCCAAAATATTAAAACAACCATGTTTTATGAAATAAATTATCCCTAAAAGTATTATTGTTCATCTAATTACAGTTAATAGGATTTAAAGAATCAATTAAAGACTATCCAAATAGGTACTTAGTTTCTTTCTTTCTTCCGAAGAAATTATTCTAATATATTTATACAAAAAAAAATCTTATGGGCTGAAGCCTCCCCCTCAAAATTAAATCCGGGATCTGTTAGTGCATTGATTCAATACTGATCTTCAATGGTGGATTTAATTTTATGGATGTAAAAATAAATTAAATAATATACAATAAATAAATTAGTGTATCAGGTCTTTTGGTCAGATTTATTTTTAATTTATATGAATAATACTGTTATTCTTAAGGGACTTAGTCCCAGAATAAAGATGATTTTCTATTTCTAAAGAGAATTAAAATTAGATTACCAATCCTTACAATCAATGCTTCTTACTTAATCACAAATAAAATTATCCATAATGACCGTATTGTCCCATATGTTGCCAATTTAGCTCAATCCCAGGCATCCCTTCCATAACAAACTTCACAATCATCCAAACCCACTTGTTCCTAACTTTGCAATTCCTTCTGAAAAGAAGATGGCCTTGGGACCTGCAATATAGAACTATGATTGGAATGCTACCAATGTCTTGAAGAGATTGTTCTAGTCTGTAAATGTCAAATAACCAATTCATATTTACTTGTATTTTTAGTTGGTATAGTTCAATTGAAAAATAAAACATTAGGTAAGTTAGTATAGAAATCTTTTTTTTTTTTTTTTTTTATTATTATTATATTCTAGCCTGGAAATTTTGATGATTTAATAATTTTTGATAGACAATCTACTGATTTTCCGTATTATATTAAACCAATGAAGTGAGCACTGAGTTTATGAGCTTGTAGAAGGCGAGTCATTTGGCGTTGTCATCAAACTCATAGGTAGTTGTTTTTGGTTTTGCTCTCGCCTAAAGATTTGCAAAAAAAATTTATTTCTTGATAGTTCGAAAATACGTGTTTGAGACTTTTTGTGGTGCAAAATACAAACCTCAAATTTATTTCTCTTTAAAAATTTATTTAAACTGTCTTTGCTCCTTCTATGGGCACAAATTGTTTTAACATTGGGTACTTGTATAATAGCCGGTAGCATCAAAACCTCCCTTGTTATCTAATCTTATTTCACATAATCTAATCTCCTCTAACCTAAGTTATTCCCTTGTTTATTTTTTGTTTCTTGTGTAAGCTGTGAGTTTGTGTTATTTAATTATGGATGTTGTCACATTGTGGGAATTGCCGTCTTCAGAAGAAGAGGTGATCAAATATTTTAAAGACACCTTCACAAATATTTACAAAGATGAAATATTGTAATTAAGGTCATCAAATGAAGTTCGAGGAAAGATTAAATGGAGATGCTTTCGTAGTTGTAACAAAACCGTTTCTATAAATAGTATAAGGAAAGGAACGTGGTTAGAGGGGTAAACTCATACTATATTGAATACTTGATGGTAGACCGTTGTAAATTTAGAGGAAGGAAATGGTCCAGCGTGGTGGTTATAAAAAGATTAAAATAGTGAAAAAACTATTTTATTTCAAGCCGACTTTTCGCCCTGATTTTACGGGTCGTCTTCTTCAGGGCTAGAACGAACAAGATATAAAAGGCTAATGAAAAATATAGAAGTTACATAATGCTTAAATAAAGAACATAAACAATGTAAATAAACTTATTAAAATTATAAACAGTACGAATAGCAAGTACATAGAAATATTAAGAACGATAAACTATATAAACAGAGTTGATGAAGTATAAGTAAATAACAAGACCCTAAAATGAAGTAAATATATAGTAAAAATTATTGTAGATTATTGGAAATAAGGAAAAACTGAATGTAATAAGGAGGATGGATAATAAAGATTGAAAGAAAAAGGAAAAATAAGAAATAATGGACATAAAGGGAGTGTGAAGAAAACAAAAAAAAAAAAAATTAAAATACTTCGTTAGAAACTGGGGAAACATGGGGAGGGGGGAGGAAATGCTGTAGCTATATGCATAAATAAAAAATAGTGCTCTCCTAAAGAATATAAACTGAAAATAGGAGTAAAAAAAATCTGATTAGAGAAATTTCTAATTGATTTCAATGATTTTTTTTATAGGATATTTAGTAACCTTTCACATAATGAGTGCAATAAACCATAAAATGTATACTTTTTGAGTTATTAGCAAAAAAAGTTTCTTTTCCTCTATAACCTTTTTGCCTGAAATTTAGGGATGATGTAACTATTTTTCCCACCAGAGCAGAAGGAAATCTTCAGAATTTGATTTATTTTCGCTCTAAAATGTAGGGTCCAAGATAACTTAATGGGTCCTTGATGTACGCATCATAATCTTCAAATTCATTTGTTCAATCTCTTTGTCCATATAAGCTTAGTGAAATGTTTATATTGACTTTATATATTTTAGGAAAAAAAATGTAGAGCACGATTCAATAACCCGCTGTGAAATTCTGAATTCAATGGTACCCTGATCATAGCATTTGAGGATGACAGGAGCTTATATTTGGTACAAAACCAATTTCAAGCCTTAGAGAAATAAAATATGTGGATTCCGCAATTTCGTATTTCATTTTTTATTCTTAAATAAATTATTAAAAACATTTTTTTATGGTTTTCTGCCAGTTCTGTTTTTGTAGTAGCTATATAATTATTGAGAAATTCCATAGATGTTAAAATAGTGAAAGTTCTTAGCTAAAATTATAAAATCATTTGAGTATTGTATGCTTGGATGGACCAAAAAATATTTCTTTGAGATACGATGGCAAAAAAATTTTAAATTTGTCTGCTAATATTGAATGAAAGTTTCTTTCCATTTAAGGACTGCGATGGAGAAGGAGCAGAAAGCGACGGTGAAGTTCCTTATAGATCGTTGTCCCCGACTGGCCTCAAGAGGTATGGCACCGTAAGCAGCCTGGAGAAGTTGGATGGAGAAGAGTCTGACCAAGGCGAAGAAACGGATGATCTGCCTCAAGGTCTTCTATCATAACAAAATTTGTTTAAAAATCTTTTCATAATTTGTATTATGTTTCAAACTTTATATATGTTAAGTTTATAATAATATAAATATTCTTGTAATAATTTCAATAAATCGACTTGAAATAAATTTATTCTATGATAAATTTACCACACGTCTTTATTCTTTATAGAAAACAAATATATTGAATTTTAAAAGGTTTATGATCGAGTTAAAGCTTCTTTTGAAGAAAGATAGGGAAAAAAACAAAGAAAACAAAAATGTAAGAATTCATAAAAATATTACGCTAAAGTTATTTAGTTCGCAGTTTTAGTGTAGTTACTTTTTTAATAGAAAGTTTTTCCTGTAATTTTATATAATTGAGTAGCATTCAATCCTCAATAATTAGATTAGCTCAATAGATTCCTACTAAATAACGGCTTGTAGCTGAATAGAATGGGATACAATGAATAGTATGGTTACAAGAATAGGATACTTGCATGGAAAAAAAAAAAATCGTGTAAATTTGAGCTACAATAGAATTCGATAAAAAAAAGAAGCACTTAATAAGTATTAAAAGAAATTCTCATTTAGCTAAAAATTTGATATAACAGTGTCTGGGAAGTATGGCCTGTTAAGCTGCAAAAATTCAGTCTTCCCAAATCTCTCTCACCTCCATTTATAAACGTATATTTATAAAAGCTAATGAAATACATTTTAAACTAAATATTATTATTTTTTTCACCTTCACCTAGGTTACACATCTTATATCTATATATATTTACATATATATTGTATATTGTATAAATATGGGATACAATAATGCTAATTTATAGTAACAAAGAAATTTTTGGACCCATTTTTTGTTTAAAAATACACCAACAAATAAATATTTCTTTATCAATATTTAAAAAAAAAACTGAAGTGTGCTTTAGACCACATGATAGAAGTGAAAACATTAACAAGGCGAGATTAATAGTATGAAATATAAATTATAAATAATAACGAATTATAAAGAGGATGAAATGCTGGGAAATGAACTCGCTCATAGTAGCAGATCCGATGTTTAATTTCTTAGATACTTTAATCCATATCTTCCATAAAACTTGTTATCATTTGATTTTCGACCCTATTTTTCCCTTTTCGTCTCTCTAACACAGTTTTGCGTTAAGATACAATTTTGAATAATAGCTCATTACAAAGAGGATGAAATGATGAACATTTCCCTGTCTAACAATAGGCAGGATTGATTTTTAGTTTTTGAGATATTTTAATCCATTTGCAAAAACACTTCAATTAGTCGACTCGAGCAGACTTTATCCGAGCGTTACTCATCAGAGATCTGACGGCTCAATCTAATTCACTCTCCACAAAAAAAGCGTAAAACCCGCCTAAAGAAGTTTTCACTTCAAAAACTAATTGTCTTTGTAAAAATTCAAGGGTCTTTACATTTTTAATCTTTATCACCAAATAAAAATTTAATATTCATGCAAGTATCTGATTTCTATCTGGTTAATTCTTGTTTCAGTAGTTTCTTGTTTTTTTTTTTATGGACATAATACTTGGCTTTATAATAATTGCTTTCTCTTTTTCAGATCAGCTCAATCAGTATGAAACAGTCGGTCAGTCAATCAAAGGATGGACAGTACGAGCAGGGACTTACGTTGTCGAAAAGATGGCTTTCTTAGAAAGGATCGGTGAAGACTCTCATGGAGTATCATTTATTGAGAGGTAGTTTTTTATTTTGAAATGAAATGTAAAAATAATTTTATTCTGAGACTACAGTCCCCTAAGAATAATAACAGAGTTACATAATTAAGAACATTAGTCTGGCTTAGATGAATACAAAATGATACCTAATTAACTGTTGATTGTTATTGCAATTGTGCAGTTGATTGAATTAGACTTTGTACAGACACAAGTGAATTTTACATGTTTGCGGAAGTTTGAATATGGAGTAGGTGGTGGAACAGGAGTTGTTTGAAGAAATAGATCCAAAAGGAGGCAGTACGAATGATGAAGGATTTGCTGAAGGAAGTAGTTTTATGGGAGGGGATATGTAAATCTATAGGTTGAGACCTGGTATTGAGAGAGTGGATAAAGGAATGTAAAGTAAAGAGTTTCAGGATGTAGGGAGGGTTTTTGGTTCTGAGGACTTGGGAAAGGAAAACGCCAAGGAGGAATTGTTGTCGGGATGTAGGATAAAGCCACTTTAACTCGGTTATCCTGAATGAAACATGGGAGCGCTTGGGGATCCCAAAGATTTATCTTATGGAACAGTTCATGAGCTTCTTTAATCTTATTTCTAGTCTAGCAGATAGCCCTCCATACACTAAGCAGCCATAGTCTAAGTGGTAGAATATAAGGGAGGTTACAAGGAGCTGTCTGGTTGTTAGAGGATTATAATCACGGAATCTTAGGAGTTGGTTAAGGACAGTTATGGATTTTTGGGTAATCTGGGAGATGTGGTTATTACAGGAGAAGTTCTGGTCAAAGTTTACTCTTAGGTTTTTGACTGTAGGACAAAAATGGATAGTGCGGTTATTGAGGTAAAGTATTTTTTGTCCTAAAGCTTAGCATAACATCAGATTCATTTTTGTTTTTTTAGTGGAGCCAATGTTGCATAACTTTGAGCTCTTAAAATTTGTTTCTTAGTTACTAAATTTGTATTTCAGAGGTAAAGGTCACCACATCACATTTTTGATTTGTTGAGGGAACTAATTTTTCCTACCTTTGAGCTATTAAAATTTTTGTCTTAGTTACTGCATTATTTAATTTTAAAATGGACATGGTGTCATTTACCTCCAGAGCACAGAAATATTTTGAATAATGATTGATAGTAATAAACTATTTCATTTTTGTTAACTATGCTTCTCTTTATCGGCTTCCACCATCAGAGATCTTGCAACCCAGTACCATTCCGATATGATCGACGTGGTATCTCTTATTGTATTAGATGGCCTCCAGTATTTACTCCTTTATGTGACGTTGAGTGAGGGAATGAGAAGGAATATGAGGCTGCACTATGAATTGTACTCAATTGTGCAGTGGACAAATTGTTCATTGAAAAGTCTCATATCAATAAACAATTGGCGAAGAAGAAAGAAGCCTGGAATAGGGCCGGTAGGTGGTAGAAGCTGGAGAAGAACGCTGAAGACCAAAGGGACTTGAGGCCTAGAGAGGGAAGAGGAAGAAAGGAGGTTATCTGAAAAGAGAAGCCAAAGACACTGAAGATTAAGAATATCAAGCCTACAGTTATAAGACTTTAATAGATTCACTTATTACAGTTGTTAAAATAAATTATTTTGTTATACAGAAGTGAAGTCATTTTATTTAGTTGTCCTATAGGCCTTACAATTGAAGAATAACAAACCAAGTGAGTCAATTCATTCAAAGTGTATACACTCAGTGTCACAAAAGCATTAGGTTCCCGAATTACCAACAACAGTTAACTCCCTCAAAAAGTTTATATCCAGTGCCGGGGTTTTGTTTTAAGAAAATTAATTCACGAGTGTAAATAACCTAGTCCCCCGACAAAGGGAAAGGCTATTTACAATTGCTGCCAAACGGATTCTTTACAATTGGCCCCTGGAACAGGTTATTTACAATTGATCCCGAACAAGGTTATTTCAAATTGGTGCCAAACAGAAGTAAACTGTTGATTGGGTCACGGAAGATTAATTAACATTCAATTTATTTAAAAAATTGAATATTAAAGCGTCGCGCAAATGTTAATTAATGTTAAGACCATGCTAAAATTTTAAACAGTGTTTTCGAAAAAAATATGTAGCAGTTTTCCAAACACATTCGAATTTTTTATATTTCAATTTCGCACAGAAATTAATAGTGCCAAATAACCCAGTCGTTTGTGAAATTGTAGGGGGAGACGAGATCTCTTTACAAACATGGCTGAGATCACAGGTCGGTACCAACCCCAAAGAAATAAGCAAGCAAAAGCTCAGCCAAATTTTGATATGGCCACCATTTTGACTGCACTCGTTGAAAGATGAGTTAAGATCAGATTTCCAAGATCAAAGAAAAGAGTGTGTCAAAACATTCACGTACATGGAGATGGAAGTGAATTCTCAAAATAAAATTGCTGCTGGGGTAAGCAAGAAGATCATGGCTAGAAACTGGGTATACTATACCAAACTAAATTTTTTTTCGATTATTGCTCCTGTCACGAGAATCAAAGATAAGATTATATAAGACTTTAGTAAGACTTTTGTGACAACATAAAAAATGGACATGGTGTCATTTCTCTCCGAGGAACAGAAATAATTTTGCTATTAATTTAATTATAGTAATTTCATGGCTGTCCTTTCTGTAATTTTTTCAACATAAGATATTTGTAATATGTACACAGCAATCGCTCCATGAGCTAATGCAGCCATACGTTTTCTTTTTATGTTCATTTTACATATCATTTGCAATTTTTACAAAGATAAAAAAAAAATATATATAACATGAAAAGAAACTTTAATTAGCTATCCTTGAAAAAACAATTAGTTAAATAGGTATATAGGTATATATGTTGGGATTAAATGGAATTTACCAGACTGAAACGACAAGAAACCTCTCGACGTTTCCAATTACTTCAGCACTTATTAGACAAACGCTCTGAACTTCCAATTATTACAAAATAATTGTATATTGTGACTTATACAGCGGAGACATGGACCATTCGTGCTAGCACAATTAGTATGCTGAATATTTTTGAAAGAAAAATATTTAGAAGAATTTATGGTGCTGTTTGTGAAGAGGGTATGTGGAGGTATCGAATAAATTCGGAGCTATATGAACTATATAATATCGGCAACATAGTTCCTTTTGTTAAAAAGTAGGGGCATAGAATGGTCAGGCCACGTGGCTAGAATTGACAGCAGCAGGAATGCCTTATAGGGTATTGTTCTCTACAATGTACGGCACAAGAAGAAAAGGAAGACCAAGGAAAAGATGGCTGCAAACACTGTGTGAGAAAGTGGAAGAATAGGGCAGAGAATAGACATGATTGGCATGATAAAATCCAGGAAGCCAAGGCCCACCCCGGGCTGTAGAGCTGAATAGTATGTAAGTATTTTGAAGGACGTGGGCACGCTGGTTAACATTTTATAGTACAGACATAACCTAACCTCGTTATTCAACTGTTGTGGTGAGCAATTTCTTTGAAATACATACGCATAAACAGTCGGCAGCCGTGGATGGTGGTCACTAATGTGGGCACCGCACTCAGCCATCGCAGCCACTTGTGCTAAAATACATTTGCTTGGCAATGCTATGTAAATAACCTGTTAAAAGTTAATTGTAAATAATTAGTTTTTAGTGGGAATAGCGAATATTCTTTTCGCTTTTTCAGGAAACTAAGTTATTTACACTCCTGATTATTAAAACAAAACGCCGGCACTGGATATAGACTTTTTGAGGGTGTTTAACTGTTGTTGGGAATTCAGGAATCTAATACCTTTTGTGACAATGAGTGAGAAGAAGAAACAATAAGAATATATATATATGAAATGTGGGACTGAATAAATACACTTTGAATGAATTGACTCACCTGGTTTATTCTTCAATTGTGAGGCATATAGGACAACTAAATAAAATGGCTTTTCACTCCTGTATAATAAAACAATTTACTTTATAACTGTAGGCTTGATATTCTTGGTCTTCAATGTAGTAAGTCTCTCTTCCCAGATAACGTCTTCTCGTCTTGGTGTCCAGGCCTCAAGTGCCCCTTCTCTCCCTGTTGTCTTCCTCCAGCTTCTGCTACCTGGTCGTACCTTTTTCCTTCTTCATCGATTTTTTATCGATATGAGACTTTTCAAAGAACAATTTGTCCACTGCACAATTGAGTACAATTCACAGTGCGACCTCGCATTCCTATATATTATATATTCCTTCTCATTCCCTCACACAATGTCATATAAAGGAGTAAATACCCGGGAATGTCTACTACAGCTAATTGTTTGGATGGAATTCTTTTTCATGTTGTTAAGCACTCATTCCTATCGATGAATTTTCTTTCAAATATCTCAGTTGAGCTAAATGCATTTGTTTTGTTTTTCTCTAAAATATCGAGGACATTTAGGAATTTAGCCTATACAGCTATAAATTTTGAAACCATTATGAAACATTATTATTATTATTTAAATTATGATATTGTTATTAATTTTCTTACCAGGTATCTGAAGACAAATCCCAGTTCGAAACATTCGGAAGAATTGATAGCTACATCAACATCATTAGCTGGGGAAGATGAATATGAAACTTCTGGGGCTACTTCGGGGGAAGAAATTTGGGGCACACCAACCAGCGGTGACTCGGGAGTTACTTCACCTAACAACGAAGTAAGTACTTCATATTTGTGGAATAATTTTGCACGAACAATCGTTCTAAAATTATTATCTTTTTTTTTTAGTAAAAATAGTTAAGTTGTAAGGTAAACATGAATTTTTTTTATTTGAAAAGTACATTCTCAATCTTTTATGCATTTTTTTTTCTGAGGAGTTGGTCCCAAGGGTGTGGTCAATACATGAATACATACTATATGAATGAAAGAATTTTTTATTGAGTATTTATACAATAAAACAAACAACAGAAGTATCCAAGTTCATTAAAAATATTTACCGTTTGGTTATTGGAACCATTAGCCAGAGCTTAACCTTGGCAAACAAGTATTGTTGATACAATAATATATACTAAAATCTACAATGTCACTAATAAATACAGAAATACAATATATTAAATCATAGTCCTATAATATATAAATATGATTACATAAATTACGGTTTAACATTATTAAACAACTAATAATTGAATTTATGGCATAAGACATATCTGTATCGCCAGGCTACTTTACAATAATTGGCAAGATTTACCCAATTTTCGCCTTTTAAATGTGCAATTATTTCCGCAGATGTCAGGACATCTTTTCCAAAATATTTTCTCTTAAGTTTCCTCAAAGGTGTTTTTGAAATTGTGTTTTTCTCCAAGATTCCCGTCATAAGGATTGATGCGTACTTATAAGGGACAAATTTAATGTTTCTAGCCCTAATATTTAGGATTTCATGAAAATAATTGAAGCAATCTGTAGCTATTTCATTTTATATTTAGGGGGCGGGGTGGCTGAATGGGCTAAAGCGTATACACAGCACCACAAGTTGCCTGGCAACCGGATTACAGATTTGAGAAGATTTAAAAAGTATGAGTTCGCGTCCCGGTACCAGAGGGGATTTTAATTCCCTGCCCTCACCCTCCGGCCCGGGAAAATCCTGTATAGCCTAAAAGGCGAGGTAGGAAAGAACAAAAAAAAAAAATAAATAAATAAAAAAAAATAGCCATTTCATTATTAATTTAACGATTCTACATGAAAATTATTTCATTTTGCGTGTCCTCCACCCCCAACATGTTAAAATAACGAGGTTATATAGGCCAAACGTTCCAATATTCTTGTAGACCACATTTTTTTTTTTTTTTTCAATTTTGTGATCAAATTATCTTATGATTCAATGAGTTTCTAAGACCTAATTAAATTATTTTATTTAATTAGATAATGCCCCATTTCTGAGAATTTTCGTAGATAAAAAATTTGTAGGTTACGATAAAATGAAGCCATTCACGAAGTTTTAGGTGAATGTTAATAATCTGAAAGAAAGGGTTCTGTATCACGGACTAAAAGATACGAGTCATTTATTTCCAAATTGAATCCTAATCATCAAGAGTTTTTCAGGAAACGCGAAAACTTATATTTTCTATTCCAATTGTATTATCAAAACTAATATTAAAAAAAAATAATTTCGGAATTTAAAGAATTAAGGGAATTCACTTATTTTCACACCACTTTTTTAATAGGTTTGTTTAAAAATATAAAAAAAATTGCACCATTGGGTTCATTGGGCGTTTTTGAATAGGATTCGATACTTGATTTGGTATCACTTTAGAAATAAGCGACTCATATATAAAAATAAAATGCAGATTTTTTTTTTTGCAATAATTTTAAATTGTCATGCCACGTACTGTGGAGATTAATGTACTAGGTTTATTTGAAGAAAAAAAAAAATAACTATGAGATATTAAGTAATATGTATAGTCGATGAAAGAGAATCTTAAGTGAGGAATATAAGTAGTATTTTATTTGTTTCATTGCCATTTTTGTTATACTTATACAATATTTTCTGTTTTACACAGGACAATGTTCAACATTACGATGGTACGGTGGGGACAGCGTTTGATGATGCCAGAGAACAGTTAATGATGGATAAACTTTTAAGTGGAGTAAGTATTTTATTTTTATTTATTGTCTGAATGTTTGATGATTGAATGACTATCTGCTGATAGAACTAAAGTAGATGGCTGCTAATCAACAATAAAAAAAATCTATCAATGAAAGCTCTCAGAGCTACTGTCATTGTTTCTTTACCCTGTTCGGTACTTGTGAACAATATGGTCGGCAGTGAACCTCCCTTCTTATCTTATCTTACATCATATAACCTGCCTTGTGTGAGTTATTGGATTGGTGAGTTTTGTTCCATTGTTTATGGTTGAAATGGATGTTATTACATTGTGGGAATTGCCATCTTCAGAAGAAGAGCATATCAAATATTTTTTGGGATAATTGCAAAGGTGATAGATATATTGTGAAGAAGATCATGAAATGAAGTTCCGACGGGAAGACGAAATAGAGATGCTTTTGTAGGTCGGGAACTGGGGTCCATACTCAACACATAAAACGTTTATGGGGCTACTTCTTCTATTTCAGCTATTCTATTACACTCAGCTAAGTGGAGAAATAAGAAACATCGAGGAATTAGGCAACACCTCGATTCATATTTATGTAAATTTTTGTGGCGGCTTCACTGAGAAGAGGACCCACCCGTTCCTCGCTATTTTGTCTGCCAAAATAAAATATGAACATATATGCGATTTACCGGCGAAGATTCGGGATAGGATTTGTGAAGACCCCAGAAGATGGAAGATGAGATGATGTTCCGGGAGGATACATTGGACCAATGGAATTGGCGATGGGTGACAACCCCAAAAGGGTCTACACTGAGAAAATTCTTTCCCACCATTGAATCGTGCCTAGAAAAGAAATGGGTCCTCCCGGACTACTGGGTCTCACAGATTGTCACGGGGCATGGGGGTTTCAGAGCGAAACTTTTTAAACATGGTAAAAACATCGATCCCTTATGTCCCACTTTTGGAGTACCTGAAACCGCCGAGCACATCAAGATGGAGGAAGATGAAATTAGAGAAAAATTATCAACTAGTCTGTGTGCACAGCAATTTATCATAATGTAAAAAGATAAACTTGCAACAGTGATTTGATATGCAGGAATGTGTATTAAGTCACTGCTGCAAACTCCCGTATTGTCTTAAAGGCAAGGTAGGGAGGAAAATAAAATAAATTAAACAAATAAAATATGCGTTATATGCGTAAAATGAAAGTGTTTTATACGTATATGTGTTGTAAAATCAAAGTGTTTTGTTATTTATATTTCATTATATTTAGATTTGTTTTTGTCTATTTCATATATATGTTGTAAAATAAAAGTGTTTTGTTATAATAATAACAAATATAATAACATTTGTTTTTGAATTTTATATGAAGATAGGAATTATCAGTGCCTTACCACAATTATCAGTGTTGAGGTTATAAACATTGACAGATAGCAGTCCATGCCTACTGGACTGTTCACAACTATCAAGTACTTATGTATTATGCGGTCGGGATCTATCAAAGCCTTATTATTGTAGGGTTGATATTCTTAATCTTCAGTGGAGTGCTTCTCTCCTGATTCCTAGCCTCAATTGAGGTCTTTGTCCTTCCAGCGTCCCTCTCCAGCTGCTGAACACTTTTCCAGACTTCTTCCTTTGAACACTTTCTTTCCTCTCCTGTACCTTTTTATCAATTGTTTATTCACTTGATACTTTTCACTCAACAACTTGTCCACTACACAATTGAGTCCAATTGATAGTGCAACCCTACATTCCTTCTCATTCCCTTACTCTATATCACATGAAGGAGTAGATCGAGGACATCTACTACACTCTTAGAATTTAATTTTTCTATTTAATCATTTATTATATTTTTCTATTTAATCATTTATTAGTCTTAAGGTTTTTGAAAATAAAGTATTGCGTAGAATATTCGACTGAAGAAGGATGAGTTAACCGGAGAGTTCAGACAGTTATACAGCGCCGAATTGCGTGAGCTGTATCCGGGTAATATAATTGAGGTAATTTCATCGCGGCGAATCAAATGGGCTTGTAAAGTTGTTGGGCTTAGTAACGAGAGAATTCCTAAAAGGTTAATATTTGCTGTGCCGAATGGTAAGCGTCCGAGGGGTAGACCGAAGCGAAGGTGGGAAGATTGCATTAAAGCTGATCTGAAGGAACTGGATTTGGACGGCGAACGGTGGAGGGAGGTGTGTAACAAGCGATTGGTGGTGTCGGCATCGAACCTTCGGGTTCGCTAAGCCTTTTTATTATTATTATTATTATTATTAATCATTTATTATATCTCTGCTATTATATGTGCCCAAGTGAAGATATACAATTGTTTGTCAGGTAAGTATGATGGGAAGTCTTGTTCCATTGTGTCCTGTATCCCGAGGATTTCCTCAACGACGGAGATTGGACCCTCTACCAGAGGATGAGGAAGAGTCGACAGAATCCAGCGCATCGAGTGAAGAAGCGACCAAGTCTTATTCTACAGATCAGGTAATTTACTGTTGTTTAATTATTTTTTTTTAGATAAAGTTTTCAATACATATAATACATAGTTTTTTTACAATATTGGGTTAATAGGTCTCGAGCATCTTTATGTAAAATGATTATTTATTTTTAAAACAATTTTATTTCTTAATAATAAAATTTAAATTTTCAGAAACACCAATAAATTAAAAATATAAAGCTAATTATTATTTCAATTTTCAAATTAAAATATACAATTTTTGAATGATATTTTTAAGATTATTATATTCATATTTAACTAAAAATCAAATAGTTTTTTTTTTTTTTTAATTTAGTTGAGAGATTGCACTTACACAACAAACAGATATTTTGGCACAACTATAAAGTAAAAATATATAAGTTGAGATAGTTTTTTGACTGCTATATTATTTTTTTCTGTTTCAAAGCATTAATTATTAATATTAGGATATTTTTGGAACATTCCAAAACTAACCATTAAGTCTCAAATACCAGTAAATTTCAAATCAGTCAGTGTTTTGCCAATTCAGGCACCATTAGCACTAACACAAATATAAGATATCATAATTTTTTTTTTTTTGCCTTAAGACTTGTCAAAGGAATTCCTATTTCAGAAAATTATTGTAGTAGACATCCCCCTGTATTTACTCCTTTAGATGACAATGTGTGAGGGAATGAGAAGGAATATATAATATATAGGAATGTGAGGTTGCACTGTGAATTGTACTCAATTGTGCAGTGGACAAATTGCTTATTGATAAATCTCACATCGATAAAGAATCGAAAAGAAGAAAAGGTCCGATCAGGTAGCAGCAGCTGGAAGGGGACGCCAAACACTTGAGGCAAAAGGACGGAAACGAGAGGTAGTCATCTGGGAGGAGAGGCCTACTACATTGAAGACCAAGAATATCAAGGCTACAGTTATAAGACTTTTATACATTAATTTATTACAGTTATAAAATAAATTGTTTTATTATACAGGAGTGAAAGTCATTTTATTTAGTTGTCCTATATGCCTCACAATTGAAGAATAAACCAGGTGAGTCAATTCATTCAAAGTGTTTACTAAGCCCCACATTTCATATATATATTCTTATTGTTTCTTCTCACACAGTGTCACAAAAGGTAATAGGTCTCCGAATTCCCAATCACAGTTAAATACCCTCAAAAAGTCGATATCCAGTGCCGAGGTTTTGTTTTAATAATTCACGAGTGTAAATAACCTTAAGCCCCGATATAAAAGAGGAAGGCTATGCGCCTATTCCCGCCAAAACTAATCATTTAAAATTAACTTCCCGTAGGTTATTTACATTACTAATTATATCATAAATGTATGCCAGAGATATAACACCACTTCAAGACAGTTAAACATTTTGCTACCTTGGTTCTGATGGACCCCTATGTCACAAATGTTGCCAATAGTCTGAAATCCCAGCAAATGTGCTGGGGCAATTGTCTGCATAACATGCTCCTTGTCACCCACTGGCACAATAATATAAAGCATCGTAAAGCCGAATTCCTTGAAATGAAGAACTATAAATGTTTTCTCCAAGTTTATTGCCTACATACAGAAGACTCAAAATATTTTAGAGTTCAATGTGACGAAAAAGGAGGCATTAGTAGTGGATCCCACGATCAATTTTGAAACCAATGACCAGGATCAGGACTTCAAGCTACAGGCGGAGAAAGAGGAAATTTATACAAAATGCATACCTCACCTGAAGGAAAAGTACAGAGATGAATTCAGCGAGAGAGAATTATTAGTTGTAAAGGACTATGCTTCGGAAGCATCCCTCTTAATACAAGTAATTTTTTGCAGAGTTCGGTTGTGGAAGGGAGTAGATGCAGACCATGACAGAAACTATTATTTTAGACTCGTTAGGAATCCTCCATCACCACATATATTGATCTTGACCTTCATTTGTTTGATTCTGTAAACTGTTATGGCATATTTGCTATTTATTCCAATGGTCTCACCTAACTCGCTATTAATCTTTTTCAATATTATCGGTTGATTTATGAGTATTCTGTATGCTTTAACAACTCAAAACATTTGAGCAGCCATACAATATTATTGGTCTAATCTTAATTTCAAGAAAAACAAGTAAACAAATTTTGTCTAATAAAACATTTTTTGTTATTAATAAAATTTATTCTAAATTCTTTACATAGTTTTAATTTAACATTTGAAGATGATTTAATAAAAAAGAATACTTAACTTCCGGTTTTATGTAAAATACATATGTTGAAATGCAGTTAAAACATTGTCCCCGACGAAATACTAGCTCAAAAAAGTCCTTGCCGATAAGTGTAACTTTATTTCATATTATGTATTTTAAACATTATTAAATAATACTCTTCGAAGTAAAGTCTATTGTTTTCAATTGCTTTCACACATCTTTCTGGCAGTAATTGGATTTGATGCCAGTACCATGTCTTTGGTTTTGAAGCAATGAACTCTCTACACTAATTTTTTATTTCCTCATAATTACTGAAAATACAACCTCTAAAAAAATCAGCCATTGAAATAAACAAACCATAATTATATAATGCAATACCTGGAAGGCCAATCAAAATGTTTACTGCTCAAACGAAAACGATATGCAGGAGCATTGTCGTCTTGCAAAATGGTTTGGTTCCTGTTGACCAAAGCAGTGTAATTTGAACTCAAAATTGCATAAATTTTGTCTTGCTGTTCACAATAAAGGTTTTAGTCTATTGCCTGACCATCAGGAACAAGCTCAAAATGCAAAACATCTCCGAAGTTCCACAAAATACAAGACATCACCTTTTTTCCAAACTGATCTTGGCGAACTAAAGTATGGCAATATTTTGATGTATTACTGATTCTCCTTCTATGGCACAAATTTCTTCAACACTGATGAAGGCCTAGGCCAAAATGATGGTAAAAACAAAATAAATATAATTTGTAAAAACTGCAATCCCAACCAACTACCAATTTACCGAAGAAAAAGTAAATGAATTAACGTTTTAGCATATCTGAGAAGAGTTAATGGCTTTTCCTCAAAGCCACCTATCAAATATAATTTCTATTCAAAGTAGAGCGATAATTGGAAGTTGTGTGTTGCACGCACCAGATTTTTGACTTTGGGACATTGTTTGGACTAGTAAGTAGATAAACATAGTAAAAGTCCCCACTCCTAGGTGGTGATGTTTATTGCTGTTTTCAGGTTTTCGCTTATATCAGGAAAACTATCCATTGCATCAACAAAGATGTTCTATACAAAATTAAAGCTGATGAAGTTTATAATATGATTGATTACATACATTTTTTCACTACTTTGCTTAGTTTTCGAGATATCCATCCCCAACTAAAGGTAATTTGGATTAAAAAAAATTTTAACTCGAGTTTTTTACTGTATTTGACTTGCTAACTCTTGATTTGGACATTCCCCCCTCAACATCTGGCTCATAATAAAACTTTTAAAATTAACTATAGTTTATATAATTACTTAGGGTTTTTCAGTTGGTACCCTAAGTAAACTAAATATTGCTTCAGGTTTATTGTCCAAAAACATTTTTCCCTGATGTCACTATAGATATGACAAGCCCGGTGAATGATGTACTCTTTTTGTTTGGAGTTACATGCCAGGCAGTTATCGCTGTTCTCAAGTACCCACAGCTTAGTGCTTAAATTAAGCTATTCCCTTCTACACCGGAATATGGACCTCATCGCTGCAAAATTGAAACAATCATTCAAATAAGGTGACACTGTCTCGACCACACATAAGCCTGCATATATAGGAAAACTTGACATTTTATCTACTATATGCTTAACTGCGGTCAACTTAACGAGTAAATCGGTGACATTTGAAGTATCGAGCTTAATTTGATAAGTTTCTCTAATTCCACCCACTTCTGGTACCAAAAAACTTTCTTATTTATAACTTCTTTTGTTAGGATATGGGGCAAATGTAAATCTGGTATCCCTAGAATTTCCAAATTATAATTAAAATGTAATTTCAGTATATAGGCGGCTATAGAGCTAATTACTGTGTTATGTAAATAACTTAATAAATTTTAAATGTAAATAATTTGTTTTGGCGGGAATTGGCGAATAGGCTTCCGCTTTTATATCGGGGAACTAGGTTATTTATACTCGTGATTATTAAAAAAAAAAAAACCGGCACTGGATATAGACTTTGTTGAGGGTGTTTAACTGTTGTTGGGAATTCGGGAATCTAATAACTTTTGTGAAAGTGCGTGACAAGAAACAATAAGAACCTATATATATAATGTGGGACTGAGTAAATACACTTTGAATGAATTGACTCACCTTGTTTATTATTCTTCAATTATGAGGCCTATAGGACAACTAAATAAAAGGACTATTCTCTCCTGTCTAACCAAACAATTTATTTTAACAACTGATAATAAATGAATATATTAAAGTTTTATAACTGTAGGCTTGATATTCTTAGTCTTCAATGTAATAAGCTTCTCTTCCCAGATGATGTCCTCTTATCTTGGTGTCCAGGCCTCAAGTGCTCTTCTCGGCATCATTCTGCCAGCTGTTGCTAGCTAGCTGCTCTGACCTTTTTCCAGCGTCCTTCATCGATTGTTTATCGATATGAGACTTTTCCATGAATAATTTGTCCACTGCACAATTGAGTACAATTCACAGTGCAACCTCACATTCCTATATATTATATATTCCTTCTCATTCCCTCACGCAATGTCACATAAAGGAGAAAATACAGGGGGCTAGCTACTACAGTTGTGAGCTATAATATAATTAGATGCCTATCTTGGGAGAAACGACATTTTTTAAAATAAAATATCTTTTGAATTTTCCTAAAAATTCATATTGCTATAACCGCCGCAAACCCGTCCAGCATAACTAAATTCTCTGTTATTACCTTATATTTGAGAGACTTGATGCTTTGTTTTGAAATCATCTGAAATATCCTAACAGTAATTTTTTTTTCTCTCGCTCTCATCTTCGCTATATCAAATTAGTTTATCTCAAGTATTTTGATAATTATTATTATTATTTTTTTTACAATTTATTTTTATACTTAATCATGCACAAATTCTATCTTTAAATTTTTTACTCATAGTTGCACACTCAGGGAACTCTGCCGGAAAATATACAGGCAACAAATATTAAACTTTTTTTCCTTCACCACCAAAACTTTTTCACTAAATACAATTCTTTTACATGATGCTATAAAAGATATTAACCCATTTTATTTTATTGGCGTTGTAATAAAAGTGATTGATATGCTGGAAGGGTAATAAATCAGACAGCTGCGCAGCAAAGGCAAAATCGGCAACCAGCACACCACACCATAGGTTCTTTAACAGGCTAAAACTACGCAGAAGCCATTCTGCCGATTCGAAGCCTTCTAGGCCGAGTAAAATGTAAGTATTATAATATTTTATTTATATTTGTATTTATTTTACTCGACGCTAAAATTGGCATGTTAGGAAGATAAAGAATTTAGATTTATTTATTGTTGCAATAGTAATTTGGCTATAATAACTTTTTAGCAGTTTATTGTATTAGTCGAGGAGTCTCCAATCTTTTTCGACTCTGGGACACTTAACAGTCATGTGTCGAGCGTTGTATTTTTCCTAGATTTTTCATCGTTTTATATTATTGATAACAAGAATTATTCTAACATATGAAAAAGTATTCCCTATATTATAATAAAAAATAAATAATTGTTTAAGAACATATTAAAAGTGTTTAAAAAATATAAAACTTCTTAATAAAGTTAAAATTACTTTGTCTAAAATTTAAATACATAAAAAAGTATAACCTATATTATAATAAAAAATAAATAATTGTTTAAGAACATATTAAAAGTGTTTAAAAAATATAAAACTTCTTAATAAAGTTAAAATTACTTTGTCTAAAATTTAAATACATGTTTTCTGAAAATGAGGTAAGAATCCTTGAAATGTTGGCAAGTGCTAAGAGTTCTAAGAGGATGAGCAAAATGTAATTTAGGGGAATATAAATAAATTATGAGAAGGAGTTAGTCGAGGATGCGGTCAAATAAATAATAAATTAAAATATATTAATTATTTTAATTTTTGCCAACGTTTCGACCCACTTTGCAGATCGTCTTCAGGGCGTAGGATGTAGCACTGTGGGAGGCCAAACGTCCTCCTGGTCTCCTTGGCCTCCCGCAGTGCCACATCCTACGCCCTGAAGACAACCTGCAAAGTGGGTCGAAACGTTGGCAAAAAATAAAATAATTAATATATTTTAATTTATTATTTATTTGACCGCACCCTCGACTAACTCCTTCTCATATTATATCAACGGTCAATCATCTCTACATCATTATAAATAAATTATAATGGAAGAGCATAGTTTACAAAATATATTGCATTAAGTTATGTTTATAAAATATGGTGTATAGTATCACCACCTGTGGCGTACCTTTTCCTTTCCACCTTTACACCTCTAAATTACTTCCTTCAACTATTTTCCCTTGAAACCCGTAGGCTCCTAGTCACTTCCTTAATACTTCCCCACTTTGACTATTGCTGTACGGTATATGGAGGTATCTTTGAAGATCTCGAGGCGAAACTAAAACGTTTGATAAATTGCTTTATACGATTCATCTTCGGAATCCCACGGGACGTCTCTGTTTCCCGTTTTTATGTAGAGTTGAAGTGGCTTTATCCTTCCTACCGTCACAAGTATTTCCTGGCATCCTTCCTCGTTCAAGTCATCCAATCCTGCCATCCTTCATACATCTCCGAGCTCCTTCAATTCAAATCCTCTGTTCATTCCTGCAATACTCATTCCCGGTCTTCAGATTTATACACAAGGGCCCACCAAACCACTGCTTTCGACAGATCGTTCATTATTTAATCCTCATCCCTATGGAACTCCATCCCTTCCCACATCCATCAATCCAATACCCTTCCTACCTTTAAATCCCACCTGTTCAATTATTTCTTATCCATGCAGTCCCCATAAAATTTTAAATAGATACTACTGTAAATATATATATATATATATATATATATATATATATATATATATAAATTATTAGATCGTCCTTCATTTTTTTTTTTTTTTTTACTTTTCTATTATTAACTGATTAAAATTAGAAAGTAACTTTTTTTTTTTTTTATTTTGACTATTTAATTACTCTATATTTTTGTTTATGTATCTCTGAGGATCCTTAGCCCATATTTCTGTCTTTCTGTTTTATTCTAAAGGGATTCGTCTCAGAATAAATAAAGTATTATTATTTTTATAAATATTTTTTAAAAAATTGAAAATTCATTTAAACCTGAAATGGTTGATATATCAAACAGTGTGCATTGAGATCTAATAATAGTGCCTAATTTCTATGATTTCTATTTGTAATAGAACATCGACAGCCACACTACAAAATCCTGTATGAAAAAAAACTAAAAATTTTCAGTAGACAAAACAAAATTGCGTAATTTTTGTTTTGTGAGTGTTATATTTTCAGTTAAATTTTTTTAAAGGCCTAATACAAATATTTAATGCTCTATGTAACTTTTTTAATCGTATTTCTGTCAAATAATCTTTTAGAGCCATTAATTCTTACTTACAGCTTTTTAGTTACTTTGAAAAACAGGTATTAGTCAGGTAAAAGCAATCAAGTTTATCGTAGTAACACCCATAACTTCACTTAATAATGATCAAAGCATGACAAGAACAAAGTCAGTTTCCAAAGTGTAAAGAAACGATTTTTTCAAACTAAATACACGAACTAAAGTTCTTTTTTCGTCTCATGTTAAATTTTTTAATCAAAGAAATCAATTATCTATCTCTCACTATCTGGAATTCGGCGGCATTGCAGCTTTTGTCCAGTCAAGCTCATTTTGCAGTGACTAGAAGGTTTCGATTTTTTTAAAGGCCCATAAAAGTCAAAGTTATGTAGATTCCAGAACGCAAAACCTCCACTAATGAATGGGATCATTTGCCTTGGAGGCATTCTGCAATACTGAAGTAAACTAAGGAGTCCTTCTGCTGTGTAGTCTGTAACGTTTCTCATTCGGGATACTTTAAGGTAGAATTCTCAGAGGTCGGAGAAGCCTGCGCCCCGACATCTGTGAACGATGTGCCAGTGTCATCTCTCTTGTGTTTCATGCAATCTATCCTTGCAATGGTTCCATCTTGTCCAGCATACCTCTAGTGGACCTCCTTTTTGATCTATTCATCATTTAGTCTTTGAAAAGTTGGTAGTCGTATTCCCAGGACCAATGAAAGATCTCGTGCAGATATTTGATTACTTGTTGTTGGATATCCATAGATGGTGGTTTCTTGATAGTCGCAACTATCAAAGAAAAAAGGAGCTTTCTGTGGACACTATTGTCTTACCAAATAGCCGCATCAACCATGTGATCAGGCTCAGTATCTCTAATTGGACGCTAATTTACTAACATAGAAGCGTTAGTCCTTTGAAATAGATACAAAAAAACAAAACAAATAATTATAATTATTTTCCCTCTGTACTCTCCATTCTTTTCATTGACAATGTCAATTGCTCTAAAACTCTCCCTAGACATTGCAGCTTCCGCTTCATCAATTGCTGGAGAGAGGGAGTGGGGTGTATGTCCTATAATTTTCAAAGTGTACAGAAATGACTCTTCTGCTTTATCTCAGAACACCTCCATTTCAGTAGCTGGAAAATCATCGCTAAAGACCTCACTGTTAAAAGATATGTAGTTAAACATTATGGTTAGTTTATCTAGTCGTATCTTGTTAATTAAGAAAAGGAAGAGACATATGTCTGTTGCTAGAGTGATTACTAAAATTAATTCTATCGTTGGCACCATGTTAAAATAACGTTGCACATTTGTTATTTTAACATGGTGCCGATGATATGTGACATATAGTCATTTACGATATCTGACCTCATTATCCTAGGTTACTTCACAATGAAGGCAATGTGAGTTATCAAGGATGGTCAATAGTTAACAATTTGTTCCAAACATATCTAATATGCTATATCATTTAAAATTTATCAAGAAAACTTGTTTAAAATAAAGTATTTTGTTTATATATATATTTTTTTTTTCAAAGCATGGAATTTCTTCGTGGAAGCAAAAGTGAAGAACATACCAGTAGCAGCCGGAGTAGATTAAGTCGACTATTTAGCAGAGATTTACCTGATGATGTCCCGACAACCTTACCTCCTGAGTATCTACAAAAAAGAGAACATGTAAGTATTTATTTAAATATTGTACACTCGCTATTCCACTGAAATAACTTCTTTTCTTACTATTTTTTGCAAACCATCGTACCCTGAACAGACCAAAAAATGTCCGATGTTCTTACTTTCAAATTGTAATGGGTACAGAGCCCATTAGCATGTTCAATATACCTCATGTAACTAAGATTCCCCTCTTATTTTTAAAATCATCTTCTTTTTTTTCTGTTGTCATTACAAACCATGTAGATCTTTTGCCGCCTTAACAAGCCTGCTCCATCTCTGCCTGTCTTGGGATATTTCTTTCCATTTATCTGCACGCAGCTCTGTTGCATCTTTGTTGATTCTATCTATCCATCTGCTTTTTGGCCTTCCACGTGGTTTTTTGCCTTCTGTTGAAGCATTTATTGTTTCTTAGAGACTGCCAGATGGATTGCTACAAGCTACATACCCCAACCATCTTAACCTCTGTGCTTTCATATAATGGGATATTGATAGACCAGTTTCTGTAAGGAGTTCCTTATTGGTCTTTCTTCTCCATGTGTAAGTGCTCTGATCCAAGATCGCTTCGGTTATCGTGCGGAAATTGTCCTCTCAAATCTTTCAATACTTTTTTCTAGGGTGGTGGTTTTATAATTCACTTTATCATAGCGTTGTACACCCTTAGTTTGAGATTCTTCGAGATTTCAATACCTTTGAGAGGGAGAAGAAGGCTCTGTTTGAGCTAGTTATACGCTGGTTTATTTCTGCCGGTTGGTCATTCATTGAGGTTATTGTGGAGCCGAGATATTTGAATTTTTATACTCTTGGGAATGATTTTCCTTCTATGCAGATCCTGTTATTGGTGGAGGGGATAGACTTTTCAGGTTATTATCATATATTTTGTTTTATCTTCATTTACTTGTATGCCGATATGGTCTGCCTCTCTTATCAGTAGCAAGTTCCTCAATGTCTTCTTGATTACTTCCAAGGACAGCAATGTCATCTGCATATCGAAGGATTTTATGATTCTTCTCCAGGGCTAAGTTGAACAACATTGGCAATAGTCCATCTCCCTGCAGTAAGCCCGTTCGAACTTCAAAGGCTTCAGATACTTACATATATACATAGATCACACACACACACACACACATACATATATATTGTAATGTCAACATTACATGGCATTTTAATAGTGGCGCGAAAGTGATAACAGCACGAATTACGGGGAGGAAGTGCGTGCGGATGGTGGGGGAAGCAAGCATCATGTAACTCAGAATGTGACCGGCCGACAAGAGAGAAGGTGATAGCCGCCAAGAGAGAAGGTGACGAGCTGCCAAGTGAGAAGGTGCTAGCCAGCAAGCTGAGAAAGTGAAAAAGGAGTCCTAGCCGGTTCGAGTGTTGATAGAGGCTACTAGTGGAGATTATTTTATGTTGGAAGAAAAAAACATAGCAGAAAAGAATTAAGTGGTACAGAAAATGGGACATTCGTAAGTAAGAAGAGATTATTTCGCTGACAGGCGTAAACATTTGGGTGAGTGCTAACAATGCCATTTATGTTGACAGAGGGATAGAGCCACAAAAGTGTAGATCGGGACAAATTATTTTATAAAACTATTTTAAATTATATATAAGTGTAGTTAGTAATTAGTAAATTAGTGTAGATTATAGTTATTTAATGTTGAATGAGTGTTCAGTTGTCAGAACCCAATCTGAGAATTTATGTTATGTGTTAAAATAAATAGTATATTGAAAAAGGAAACTCGTTGTTTGATTTTGGAGGGAAAGAGGAACGTTACAATATATATATAAATTGATCTATCAAAAATTGTCTGTTTAGATTAAGATATTAGTCAATGGTACAGATCCCTTTTTATAAAATTATTAACATCTGCCTGAAACTTAGTAACTGGCTTCAGCTTATCGTAACCAACAACATTTTTATCTATGAAAACTCTCAGAAATGGGGTTGTCTCTGACTCAATTAATTAATTTATAATTATTTATTATTAATAATTTATTATATATATATATATATATATATATATATATATATATATATATATATATATATATATATATATATATATATATAATTTATCATTTATTAATTTAATATTTATAATTAATTTAATGAGGTACTAATAACTCATGAACAGCCATTTGCTTTCCATTTGAATCATAAGATAATTTGATTAGAAAATCGAGAAAAAGTTCGCTTACAAAAATATTGAGCTGTTTGCTCTATATAACCTCATTATTTAGACATGTTGGAGTGAAAGTCATACTAAATAGCCCGATGTTTTTGCTGGCCAGCTTTTTTCCACAACTTTGTGATCAAATTATCTTCTGATTCAAATGGAAAGCAAATGGATGTCGATGAGTTTTTATTATCTCATTAAATTGACAAAGTTTATCTATCTCTAGATTGGAAGCACTTCATTTCCGAAATTTTTCATAAATAACAAGTTGTATGTTACAATAAGATGAAGCCATTCATGAAGTTATAGACAGATGTTAATAATTTCATGGAAAGGTGTCTGTACCACAGATTATTATAAATCATCGTTTTAAAAATAAAAATTATTATGCGTTTTAAAATCAAGAAATATATTGAATTACATACATTATTAAAAATCCTAACTTAGATATTGTTCCAAGAACAAACAAAACAGAATAAAACTGCCTGAAAACTAGCAAAAAAATTTTCATCGGATTTTAAATAATTTTTATAACAAAATCTTATGGTGATTTATTTCTCTATTGAAAATTGATCTATCAAAAATTGTCTGTTTAGGTTAAGATATTAGTCAATGATACAGACCTCTTTTTTATATAATTATTAACATCCGCCTGGAACTTAGTAAATAGCTTCATCTTATCGTAACCAACAACTTTTTTATTTACGAAAATTCTAGGAATAGGGGCATTTTCAATCTAGAGATGAGCAAACTTTGTCTATTTAATTAAGTACTAAAAATTCATGAACACTTACTTTCTTTCCACTTGAATTGTAACATAATTTGATCACAAAATCGAGAAAAAAGGTGCCATACAAAAATATTGGGCCATTTGTTGTGATTTCCACCATCAACATACCAAAATACGAGTTTATATATGTCAAATGGCCCAATAATTTTGTAGGCTACCTTTTTTTTTTTTTTTAGTTTTGTTGTGGTCAAATATCTTACGTTTTATGTGGAAAGAAAATGAGTATTTATGAGTTTTTAGTACCTAATTACATTAATTAATTTAATGAAATAACGTCCCATTTCACTCCTAAATTTTTCACACCTTAAAATTTAAATACTCCATCCAGTCCCGTCCCACTGGATCTCGTACTTCTGACCTCTATCCTCCTCACCGAACTACTGCATTTTGACAAATCCTTTGAAATTCAAACCACCTCGCTCTGGAATTCCATCCCTCCTGATATTCGACACGTACAATCAGTTTCCTCTCTCAATCCTCTCCTCTTTAAATACCTACTCCTGTCTCATTCCAACTGATTACGAAATATACCTAAGTACATATATATATATATATATTTTTTTTTACTTTATATTTATATATATATATATATATGTATTTTTACTTGTAACTAACTATTATTGTAAATATTTAATTTATTTATATTCTGTACTTATAATTTGTTCTAAAGGGACAACAGTCCCATAATAATAAAATATATTTTCATTTCTGACAATTTTTTTATATAAAAAAATGTATATGTTATGATGAGCTGAAGCCATTCACAAAGTTTTAGGTGGATGTTAATAATTTGATAAAAAGGGATCTGTACCACTGACTATATTCTGAAGGATCAGTCTTTCTATGGCATAACTGTTGTATTTTTTTTTTCTTTAGGACAAAAGTTTGGAAAGGCGGTTTTGGAAACAGCTGCGGAAAAGGAGGCTGAGTGGTGGGGACGCATCAATGAAGCCGCCGTTTTCAAACACATAGCAGTGGCTAAGAAGTAGAGTTTTAGCAAGAAACCGCGATTCCTGTTTCCTGAGAAGCTGGAAGCAAAGAGAATCGCGCTTTTTCACAAGTTAATGTCATGCTTGAGTACTCGTCCCAAAATGAAAAAAAAAAACTAAAACAAGTTATGCAGTTAATGGGCAAAATTCTAAATTCAACATTTTATGAAACCAATTTCAAATATTCCACAGTGAAAAGTGGAACTCTAAAAGATTTGTGAAAGTTTATGAAATATATAGTTCTTTTTTTGTCTTTTTGTATAAAGACATACTTAGGTCTTCTAAAATTTTAACTGATATTAGAGTCGCACGGTTTAGAAAAGAATTTTTTTTGTTTTTAAAAAAGAAGCTTTTCATTGATATAATAAATGTGAGCTTTTCAATTGCATTATGTTTAACGATAGGCACTACTAATTGTGATATTACTTGTATAAAATTTGTTTATATGTACATATGAGAGTAATTGTTACTAATAACTCTAAATTGAAAACATTCTAAAAATGCTAGTATTTTTTTTCTTTTGTAGGTTATTACATAATTTTAGAAGTGTAAATATTTTGTAAATTCAAAAATCATTAATTAAACGCTCAATAATGGATATAAGGTGATAAAAAGAATTATAATAATTGTTAATGATAGGAGAGATTTGTCTATTCCAAATTTACAATTTATTATTAGTAGTAGTATTATATTTATCACTTTAAATTTACTAAATGAATTAGGCCTTGGAGTTAAAGCCTAAAAAGAGTATTCTTTTTTAAAAGAGGAGTTTTGAAAGTGAGTTGCAAAAGTGTATATAATTTTTAGTGATTTCTAAATAATAATGAATGTTTCTCAGGATTGAAATATTTGTTGATGATTATAATTCATTAATATATATATATATACAATATAACTTCGATCACCAACTAACTTTCCTCATATTTTAGAAATCAGTTACTTCGGAACGGCAGACAAAGTTCATTTTGCTTTAGAATTACATAACCTTTCGTATTACCCATTCAAACCTTCTCTTGTTATGAATATTCTATTTTG